GTATTTTGAAAAAAGATCTCATAAAGACAGTTAATTTTAATGATAATTGAAATTAAAGATGAAAATAAAATTAGAAATGCATCATTATTATTCGAACATTAAACTTTTCCACAAATTGCACAAAAAAAGCTATTTTAGATGGAAATTCTTCAAAACTTTCGTTTTTTCTGCAACATTGTCGAAAAATAGAATTTCTCGTCGTAGAAGGGAAAAAGAGCAAAATGAAAAATGTAATCATTCAATCGATCATTTCATTTCCTTTTTTTCGTTTATGTGAAATAAAAATTATTTTTGTGAAAATAAAGCGAAAATTTTGAGTGTAAAAAAATTTACATAAATTTCTAATTTAAATCAAATTTTGAAATAAATTTAAAAATTAGCAAATAAATTTCGAAATTTTAAAAATCAAATTGTTTTTGAAATCAGTTAACATAATGATTTAATGATTTATAATATTGAAATTAGTAAATATATTTTGTTTAGTTTTAATTTCTAATTTTCATAGCTGTCACTAATTATTGCAATAATTTTAAGAAATCGAAATGATTTAGCAAAAAAAAAGGAAAAATGGAATTAAATGATTAAGTAAATTGAAGCAATAAGAAATATAACAAATAATTATATCAACAAAATATTAGCTCAAATTTAAATTTTCAATCAAATTAGTAAAATAGCAAAATGTGAGAATAATTTGGGAAATAGTTAAAAGAAATAGTGAAATTTAAAAAATGAAATTTTTTGCAATGGCGGATAGTAATGATTGGTGTGATGATTAGTGATGATTAGTGATAGAAAGATGATAATGATGATGATAGCATTCTTTTAAAAAAATGGATTAGGTGTGCACATGTGTCTCTCTATATTTATATACATATATACATAGGTGTGTGTGTGTGTGTGTGTGCACGACTGTTTATATTTGATAAATGTATGCACAACAACTAATAAGGATCAATGATATATTGATAAAACTTTAAATTGATATTCTTATCAAAATAATAGTTCTCCATCTATCATTTTAAATCCTATTAAAGTATTATTCGTCAATAATTAAGTTCTTAGCAATATAAAATTTGATTGAGATAACAACAACAACAACAACAATATATAATAAATGATAGAACGATCAATATTGATTGATTAATCATTTGATAATACAATGATAAGCTATTATTCACTGTTTGATATTTTTACCTGTAATATTTTTATTCGATGAAGTTCATTTTAATTCTTCCCTTTCTTTTTCTTATCAATAATTTAAGAAAATTCATTTGTGATAATGAATTGTTGAAAAAAATAAGATGACGTAACGAAAGATGAAAGTAATGCGATGAGTTACACTTAATGAGATATGTTGTTTTTTTTAATGAAAAATAAATCATTGAATTTAATTATTTGACAAAAAAACTAATTCTCATACCTTACAATTTTGAAAGTATTTCAAAGTAAATGAAAATGTTTTAAAATCGTTATTAAACTGAAAGGTTAACATGAAAAGTTAACATTTCAAATTTTTATTCTCTCTCATTTTCAATTTGAAAATTACTAATTAAATTATTAAATGAATATTACCCTAAAATTAATGATAACAGTAAAATGAATGATTAAAGAAAGAAAGGAAATTTTCAAAATACCAAAATTAGCGATTTACAAAATTTCATATCAAATATGATAAAATTTTTTGCATATTTCTTTAATATTCTATGATGAAAATTTTGCATATTTTTAATGATTAGACTATCACTTATTAATCAATGTTTTGTTGGAAATAAAATTGAGAAGAAAATGTTTTTTAATTTTATTCTCAACGATTGAACTGATAGTTTAATCAAGTGATACTTTTTTATGATAAGTGATAACCAAGTGATATGTGATATTAAGTGATATAAAATGAAATGATATTTTATTTTTATGGTTAATAAGTGATAATCAAGCGAAGTGATACTTTATTTTTATGGTTAATAATGAGTGATAATCAAGTGGTATCAAGTGATATAAAATGAAGCGATATTTTATTTTTATGATTAATATATGATAATGAAGTGATTATAAAATAAAACTATTACTTTATTTTATATTGTTAATATAGCATAAAAGATTAATGAAACATTATGTGAAATTAATGAGTGTAATTGAATTATAAAAATGTTAAAAAAACTTTTGATATTATTTTATTTATAAATGTTTGATTAAAAAGAGGATTAATATAACATGTAATTTGACCATTATCATTATCATTGTTTCTCATTATTGAAACAATGATAATGATAATGGTCAAATGATAAATGGTCAAACGATGATAATGATAATGGTCAAATGATAAATGGTTAAACAATGATAGTGATAACGGTCAAACAATAATAATGGTCAAAAAATATTTAATAAAGAAAATTTTTAATAAATTTTTGTAAAAAATTAAATTTTAATACCAAAATAAAAATTGAATTTAAAACGAAAAATTATTATGTAAATAAGGAAATTTAGAAAATTTCAACAGTATAACCCATCATTGTCATCAATTATTCTCATCATAAAAATTCTAAATTTAGGTCAGTTAATGTGGAAAAAGGTAGCAAGAATATAGGAAAGATGTATAGGTGTATTTGGGAAGAAGGGAAAGATGGATAGGTGTGATATTTGATATGAAATTCATTGATGAAATAGGTGGTAGTATTTCGTGATAAAATAATTAATAGGATACTCTTTTAATGAATCATTCGCAGACAATCAATATTTTTCGCAACTTCCAAAAGATTAATTTGAAATAATACAAATTGGCATTGATCATTTTGAATTCTATTGAAATAATCATAACTTATTTATCATTGCTAGCAAATTTCGAAATTTCAATTAATACTTTTTAAAAGATCGATAATGCTAATGTTGAAATTAGTTTTTGAAATATAAATAATTGCGAAAAAAATATTTCATCAAATCAGTAAAATGCCATTTAATGTGAATGAGTTGAATAAATGTGGGAACAATTAGTTGTAAAAAATGAAATATCACAAATAATAATTTCAATATTTCTGTATATCATCTGTAAATTATTATTGATTAAATTTTACAAAATAGGTGAAAGTTCATTTTACAAAAATGAAATTTGATTATGAAGTAAATTAGCTCATTTATATTTCAATAAATCTGTTGAATAATAAATTAATTTAAAATTTCGAAGTTTCGAAAGTCAAGTTAGCTTCTTATTTTTAGCTTTATACAGGTGCAAATGATATTTGTGCTAATGAAACATTATTATTTTAACATCATTATTGAATTAAACACTTAAATATTAATTCTATTATTTTTATGTAATATCATAGGTAAGTAAATGATCTTATCAAATATATCAGATAAATTCATATCATTAATTGATTGAGTTAATTTGTTAATACGATAAGTTTTACAATCGCATTCTGCGATATAATGTAAATATGTCAAAAGGTAATTAATATAATAATTACATAGTTGTCAAATAATTGTTATCATTGTTCTAGTTTATTTCATTCTAAAATAATAACATTGAAAAATTTATAAATTTAAATCAATAATTTTTAATTATAAAAAATTATAAATATAATATCAAAAGACAAAAAAATTATTTTTTCAACAATATTAATAATATAAATTATATTATAATCTATATTCCATTTAATTTTTATTACCTATTATAATAAGATGTAAATTTGTGATATTTATAATAGGATGATGCATTAGATAGTAAAAGTATTATGGATATTTGATTAAGCCAGCAAGAGTTGCGATCGTCAATTATTCGGTTACCGTGGTGACGACAAATCAGTCTATCCCATTTCACATACTTCTCCCATCATATTTCACTTCCTTATGGATAGTAATTTAGTTGGGAAAGTAGTTCATCCCACAATTTACCTTTCTTTTTCATTTATAATAATAATTAATATTTATGTATCGTTCTCATTTCTCAGATAAGTTATGTTATATTCATTCCATTAACTATACCTATATTATTCAGCAAATCTCACTATCGATTGAAACCAAATGAATAAATATAAATAAAATGCAACTACTTCTTTGCAATAATTTTATTTATACAATTTTATACCTGTCTATATCTTTATTATTATTATTTTGTTTGATATTTTTTTTATTTCATCCTTTTTTCTATTTTATTTTATAGTATATAAATATAAATAATGAAATAGGAAATATATATAATATATAAATATAAGATAAGATATGATAGTATTATAAATTTATATAAATAAATATATAAAAAATAAATTCAAAATGAAAAAGTGAGATTTTATGAAAAAGTTTATTATAAACTAAATATTTAATTAAATATTATTATAATTTAAAATGATGAAATTTTCGTGTAATATATATTCATTTATGTTTATGCTAATTTTGTAAATGTAATTAATATTATGTGAAAATTTATAGTTCAGATGAAATAGTATTTGATTACTGTTAATTTGATATTTACAATGAAATTTTTAAAATGAACAATTTCTTTATTATATTTCCTGTAATTAATAATTATTTCAGAATGGTCTGATTTCTTTTGTCTAATGAAAATTAAAATTAACAAAAAGATCAAATAATGAAATATAAATAGTAAATTATTGCTGTGGAAAGTTTAAGCGATTAGAAACATTTATTGCTAAAATATATTTTTAATCGATTGTTTTGTGGATAAGAATATTTTTTCTAATTAAACTTAATTCTACAACTGAATTAAATTTTCCTCTTTCCTTTTTCTCATTTCAAAAAGCATTTTAAAAGCTAAACTGAGTGTTTTTATTTGAATTGATAGTTTTCCGAATTAATTAAAATCAAAGTGATATTTTAGAAAGCTTTAGCACAAGCCTAAAGATATAACTATTAGTCCCTTTCACTATCTTTCTCAACATCACTTATCTCTTATCATATCTTACTTTGGTTTAGATTATTGATAAGTGCTTGAAAAGATTCAATTTTTTGCCATAACAATATTAAATTTTCTTTAGGATAATTTGACGATGTTGGCACCAGTAGTGACAAATCGGGATATGACACCATTATTACAACCTGATGAAGATATCATCGAATTTTTGCGTAGTAACAATTTTGATGTTCGTTTGCAAGTAAGTGCCTTCTCTTATGTGGCGTAAGATAATTGATAAGTCTCTGAAAAGTTTTTATAATTATAGAAAAGTAATATTTAATTAATTAAATAGGTAATTCGATTTATTTTTATGAAATTTAAAAATTACACTTAAAAATCTTTTTATTGAAAATATTTTTGAGTCATTAAAAATAATAATTTTTACCTTACCTGTAGAAAATTTTATTTTTTGTTTTAACATTGTTGTTGAGTTTTTCAAATGTCATATGAAGGAGAAAAGTAAAACATATCAAATCTTCTGAAATTTTCAACAAAAGCGGAATCTTTAACAATCTCCAACAAAAAACAGAATCCTGGCAATTCCTGATGAAGATAGAATCTTGACAATTTTCAACAGAATGCAACGATAACAAAATCCAACAAAAATGGAATCTGACAAAAATAGAATCCAACAAAAATAGAATCCGGCAAAAACAGAATCCAACAGAAACAAAAATAGAATCAAACGAAAATAGAATCCTGAAAAGCAATGAAAGATAGAAAATTTGAATTGAACTGAGGAAAGAAAGATTTTCAGACATTAAGCCATTTAACAGTATGGGTGAAAAATGATCCACAATGGTTTTCGAAATTTGTTAGAAAGGGTGATTTATTCAAACAGTTCGAGCGACTTCTAATGGATGATCGTTGGGAGGTGCAACATCAATGCATCAAATTTTTGCACGATGCATTACCTACTTTTGGAGATGTAAGTTTACACTTTTTCTAGGCAGGCAGGTGTCAACAAAGAAATTTATTACTCTTAGCTGTAATTTAGTACTTACTCTTTTGGTCTTTCAAAAATTTAATTTTTTAATTTTTAATTCCATTTATATAAATGCTAGTATTTCGTTCTTTTTCGTAAATTTTCACCTTTGATTACTTTGTTATACTTAAATAACTCTTTTCTTACCCTTTACGTTTTGCTTTTTTCTAAAAATAATTAAATTCATTGCTAATGAGTTTAATTAACAAAAAAATATATAGTGCTGCTAAAGGGAGTGAAAAAAAATTAGGAAGCAGAGAGGAAATACCGGGAAAAATATTCATCAAACAAGAAATTTCAAAAAAAAATTAAAAGCATTTAAAAGTTTCCAAAAGAGCTAATTTAATCAGACATTTAAACTAATTAATTAATCTCCTTTATTTTAATTCTTCAATTGGAAATTCAAAACTTTTGATGTAAAGTAAATTCAAAAATGTAAAGCAAATTTTTATAATTCAAAAAATAAAATAAATACTTTTTTAAATTTTTGACAAATAAAATTAGTTGAAACAAAATGACGCGATTCATTTATACATTTCAATTAATTCTTTTTTTTAAAAAATATTTTCGTTATGAAAAATGTTGACAGACTGTCAACATTATTAAATGAAATGGATGACGATAGAAATTAATTTACATAACTTTATTGATTTTCATCTCAAAACCAATTTGAAATGACAGGAAGACGAAAATTAAATGAACGAAATGTATCGTTTTTTTTCTTTCACTGAAATTTGTTTTTGTTTTAATTGGAATTAATAAACGAATTTTTTTAGCAATTAAATGCTAACTTTATAATGGTCTAAATTAAACTTTGCAAACTTACCTATGAATTCATAATTAATTTATCAGCAAAACAACTTTGATTGTATAAATTTTGAATTAAGCAATAATTTGAAATTTGAGTTATTGAAAGTTAAGCGCTATCTGACAAATTTACCCTTAATTTATTAGCAAACAACTTCGATTCGATAAATTAAATTTAGCTATAATTTGACTTAAGTTGCTTAAAGTTTAATACTATCCTTAAGTATTACATTTTTTAATTTTCAACAAATAATTTTAAACCTTGTTAATTACTATTTTCATTTACTCTGATCAAAGAATGTCAATTATACTCATATTGCATGATAGCATTTCAATCAATTATTGTTGGATTAAGTTAATTACTATTTTCATTTACTCTGATCAAAGAATGTTAATTATACTCATATTGCATGATAGCATTTCAATCAATTATTGTTGGATTAAGTTAATTACTATTTTCATTTACTCTGATCAAAGAATGTTAATGATACTTATATTGCATGATAGTATTTCAATCAATTATTGTTGGATTAAAAAAATTACAATAATTTTTTTCAAGTATAAATTTTGATATATCAAAGAAACAAATTGATAATAATAAGGAGACGAGTAAAAGATGTATATATAATTTTTAATAAATTAAAATTTAAAATTATATTTTTATTTTAAGTATATGGAATGGTGTATGACTTATTTATTGCCATCAATTGTAATCAAATTGGGTAGTCCAAAGATAACGATACGTCGGATAACGAATCAAATGCTTACAGCTTATTTAAAATTACAACCTGATGCTTTAAATATTGTTCAAGTAAATTTCTTCCTTTTTTGCACTAAAATTATTTTAGAAAATATCAATATACTTATATAATATTCATATTTCAAAATCGATTAGTATAAAATCCAAAATTTATAAATTAATTTCATTAGGAAAATATTTTAAAACACTTCATTGATAATTCCAACCAATTAAAAAATTAGAATTTTTGTTTTTTTCAATAATTCAAATTTTCAAAATTAAAGAATTTCATTATGGGAAAGTGTTGTAATTCTTTTGAATATTTATGTACTTTATTAATAAGATACTATAATTTATCCAATTATGATTTATGTAATTCATTAATACGATGTAATTTATCTAATTATGATTTATGTATTTTATTAGTAAGATATTATAATTTATCTAATTATGATAATAAATGTTATCAAGAAAAGATAACCCCGTCCTGAAATTATCAAAATTAAATAGTTTTCTTTTTTCTTAATTTTTTGTTTTGTTGCAGAAAGTGATTGCAAATTTTCTATTGGATGATAAAAATGATTTACAAATAAAAGATGAAGCATTGAGGGAAATTCCGAATCTTATGATAACAGAATGTGTTAATCAGAATTGGAAAATTATGATTAGTAGTTTAGCCGAAATGATGTATACGATTTCATCGGAAAGACATGAAAAAATCATTCGCTTACTTGCTCATTTCAATGGTTTGTTTTATACTGTAATAAGCAAAGAAATAATTGCTATCTTTTATATCATAATAATTTATTCAAATTATCTTTTAATTACTCCAAGATAATTACAATAAGATTTTTAATGAATTTATGATAAATTTCTATATAAAAATTTCATTTCAAATTTTAAAGTGAAATTTTCATACAAAATTTATTATAAATTTCATTTTTAAAATTTCATTCTTATCATAATTATTCTAAAACAATTATTATCATTTTTTTTCTCTCTTACATTTGTAATTAAATTTTTGCAAAATTTTGTGAATTTTGAATATGAAAAAAAGGTAGAAATTACCTGTAAGAGCAATTATATTAATTGAGAATGTTAATTTTTTTAAAACAAATCAAAGATAGTAAAAATTATTGAAAAAAAATTTCAAACAAATCTAATAGTTTAATTAATTATTATAAAATTTATTAGAAGAATTTTTATCTTAGTTAATATCTTATCTTTTTCTAAAAAAGAAATCGATAATTAATTATTAAGCATTATTATATTTTATTAATTCAATAATTAATTGCTAAAAATTGATTTATATTATAATTAATTCATTATGAATTTAATAGAAGAACCAATGTTTGTTATATATTGCATAAATATCATAATAATTTATATCAAAAAGCTACTACGTTGTTGAATAAATTAATTAATGCTAATTAAATATTTCAATTTTCACATTAATTTTTCTTTTCAGTTTACTTAGGTGAAGAGAGGTTTTGGAAAATTTTATTAGAATTAACAGTGAAACAATATGAAATATGTAAGAAATATGAAGAAATGATAATTGAGAAAAGTGAAGAAATGAAAGGTTTCTTTTTTCAATTTAAATTAAAATAATTTCAAAATAATTTATGAAAAATTAATTGTTTAATTTTTCTTTTGTTTTAAACATATTAAATGAAAAATTTTAAAATTTCAAATTTTAATTTCGAAAAAATTTTTACATATATCATTTTGATTAGTTCACGCTTTATTTCTAATCGAATTCAACAAAAGAAATAATTTTAGAAAGCCTTAAGAATAAGGAAAAAATTCCACCATCTATCGATGTCGAATTACGATATCGATTCGGTATAATTCCAGTATTTACCAGTAATATGCTCAGTAGTGAAATTGATCCAACATCACGAATTGTTGCCCTTGAACAGGTCAGTAAAATTATTTACCATTTGAAATGATGCTTTTTTAAAATAAATATTAAATATACTAAATATATATATGTAATTGAACATTGAATATTAAATACTATATTAAATATTAAATACACTAAATATGTAAGTAATTCAATACAAATATTAAATACACTAAATATATATGTAATCAAATATCAAACAATAAATGCACTAAATATACATGTAATTAAATACACTAAATATGTATGTATATATGTAATTAAATATGAATATTAAGCACTCAATATATATGTAATTGAATATAAATATTAAGCATTAAATACACTAAATATATAAGTAATTAAATATAAATATTAAATACAATATATGTATATGTAATTAAATATAAATACTAAGCACTCTATGTAATTAAATATTAAACATTAAATACACTAAATATACATGTATAGACTAAATATATAAGTAATTAAATATTAAACAATAAATGCACTAAATATATATATAAAAGAATCGTTTAAGATGTTTTTCATTCAGGTAAGCGAAATAATGAATGGTTCATTCAGGTAAGCGAAATAATGAATGGAATAACACCTGAAGATGCACGTAAATTTGCAGCACATTTGCATTCATATTTTCTAACTTTGGGTAATGTGTTGGATGATTTAAATTTTAAAGTTGTCGCACTTTGCATTGATGTCCTTCGTTTAACGTTGGAAAAAATTGGACCACTTTTAGCGCCATATTCACAAGTTTGTTTATTTGTTTGTTTTTCGCATTTCAGAATTAATTATAATTTCTATACATTAAAATGCTATTGAATGCGTAGAATTCACGCAAAATTTACGGTAGGTAGAGTTCACGCAAATTTACAGATACATACAATTCACGCAAAATTTACGGATACGTAGAATTCACGCTGTGATGCATACGTTTAGAATCATAAGTGAAACAAGCTAATAATAAATAATTGATAAAATTTTATCAATTTTTCAATAGTGATATTAGAAAGTTTATTTTACTTAAATTTATTTAATAATATAATCCATTTTTTTTAAATAATTTTTTAATCACTTGATTAGATTTAATTATTTTCGATAAAGATATCTATGTGATAAGAATGATGGAAAAGAAATGAAAGTTTTCATTTCACCTTACAAAATTGAAACCCGAAGTTAACACTTCATAATCGAAAGCAAATTAATTATTACTGAAAAGCTAATTAATTATTATTCAAAAGCTATTTGACTATTACTAATGAATGAGGAAATTTACAGTTTTGTTTCATTTAAATAGCTCCACTCATTAATTAATTTAAATTTTAATAAATTTCTTTTCATATTTATTTCAGCAAATAATTGGCTTAATTTCAAAACATTTTGGTAATCAGAAATCTTCAGTAAAACAACAAATTATGGCTATATGTATGATAACAATGCGGAATTGTTCACCGAAAACTGTCATCTCATATTTATGCGCCTATTCAGAACATCGAAATTCACGAATTCGTGAAGAAGTCTTTTTTCATATTACTATTTTTCTCTCACAAAAAATTCTGTTCTAATATTTCTAAGAATTTTAAAATTTCATCCAAAACTTTTAATTAACTGATTTTTTGCATTTTTAGAAATTTGAAAATTTTTCAAATTTTTTTTGCAAACTAATAATAATTTTAATTAATGCTGATTATAATTTTAATTAATAAAGCAATTAATGAATTAATAATATATAGATATATTATAATTTTAATTAATACTATTTATAATTTTAATTAATGCTGAAAATGATTGTTTTATTTTTCAACATAATTATAATAAATAGTTATGCATAAATTATCATTTTCAAATTTCATTCTTTTACATTATGAATTAATTAATGACAGTATTATAATTTGTTTATTAAGAACATAAATAATATATAGATATATTTAGAAATAAATTATACATAGATATAGATATATAAAATATATATAATAAAATATAGGTAGATATAATATAGAAAATATAAATAATCGATTATTGTATTTGAAATGAAATGTTCCATTAATGCTTTCTTTTTCTTTCATTTAATACATACCTTTCCTTCGTCATAAATTATTGTTAATGTTTTTAGATTTTAAATATTATGACAGCCGCATTACTTTCATTCGATTCACGCTCGATTAATCTAAAAGCAATTGCTGATGTTGTCGTACCATTACTTGCTGATCAAAAAAGACGTGTTAGGTATGAATTATCATCATCGTTTAATGCTATCACCATCATTATTATTATCATTATTATTTATTACTTATTATTATTATTATTACTATTATTATTATCATTATTATTAATTTTATTATTTTTGATATGTTTTATTATGATTTATTAGCAGCATTATTAAAAAATTCTAATTTTTTAATTAATTTAAAATCTATTTTTCATACGATAAGATAATTGAAAAGACTAAAATTATCAAAATTTTTATATAATTTCATCGAAAAAATGATTAAATTATCAAGTCATTTTTAATGATAACAATTAATTGAGATGGAATTTTTATCAATTTTCATTTCCAATAATTTTATATTAATTCATTTAAGTTAGATATATATTTATATCACAACTAATCGTTATCAAAAAGTTTCCACTAATTTCAATTCTTTAAAATCTTAATTACAGATTGGCAGCATTTGAGTTATTTGCTGTTCTTGCGCATTTGTCAAAAAACTCCATCAAACGTTTGCTAAAATCAGTATCAAATATGGAGGAAAAATATCGTGCTTATGGACTTCTAAATGCTGTGAAGGTTTTATTTAACTATACTTTTCATATATTATTGAAAAAAATTTCTTTTACAAAATAGCCTTCAAATATTCGCAATCAAAAAAAAAAACAAAGAAATTCTTTTTGCCAGCTAATAAATTTAAATAAATTAGCTAATCATTTAATGAAATACTTGTTTTAATCAAATACATAAATTTGCATTCAAATGATAGTAAAAATTTATCGTTAGAAGTAATATTTCAATTTCTTATTCAAATTTTTTAATTTTAGATAACTTTAAAAATTGACCTCAAAAATATCTTCACTTATCATTTTAAGATAACACTTTAAGAGTTAAGTTCATTCGTTGCAATATGAAATGATTAATGATTTCTGATAATCAATCAATTTTAAACCTGAATAGAATATCATCCATTCTAATTTCAATTTTGATCAATTTTTTAATTTCAATTTATTTAATCGAAATATTCTCGCAACATTCTATTATCATTTATTTGATGATTATAGTTATTTAATAAATGAACTATGCAAATTTTTAAATAGATATAATTTTAATCTTTCATTAAATAAATGAATTGCTTAATTAGTTTCATTTAAATTGCTTAATTAATTTCATTTAAATTTTTAAAATAAAAAAATGCTAAAGGAGAGAATATCACGTAAAGCATTGCCAAAGATACGCTCTGACGGATTAATTGAATATGCCATACCACTTGATGCTGGCACTACAATGAATAGAGAAGGTTGGCGATCGTTGAAAACGGACAATTTAGATTATGAATGGATTATGGGTGGTAGCAGCGGATCAAGCAGCATTCATTCCAGGTTACTTTTTTCATTGGTATTAATTATGAAGTGAACAGTTCTAATTAAAATTAAATTTGGTTGTAAATTTTTGAAATTTAAGTGTGGATTTTTGATTGTAGAACAAAATGGCCATCAATTAATTCGGCAGAAAAACTTTCATCTTCCTCACTTCCGGTTACGGAAAATACATTGTCAGAAAGCACTCAATCGATTGCTGATAATGAAAATGAATGGAAAGAAAATTTCAATGAGATGTTAGGAGAATTGGAAAATAAGAATATAGTTGGAAATGATACGGTAGGTTTTTTCAAAATTAAAATAAAATAAATGAGTTCAAAATATTTTTAGGATGTTTCGAATTAGAGAACTGTTTTGATTAATTTATATTTTATCACTTCAAGTATTGTCTAATTCTAAAGCAAATGATTTTTTTTTTGCTAATTTTAATTTAAAATATATTTTATTCATATATATATATATATTATATTATTGGAAAAATAAATGTTAAAATTAAATTTTAGGTTATTTAATATTATTGCAAATACAATTACTATAATTTTAAGATTGAAATTAATAAAAAACTGTTTTAAAATTTGTTTCATTTCTTGATATATAATTTGGTTGGAATATTTTAATAAATTTTTCAGCAAATATCAATGAATGAAAGGCTATATTCAGATGAATGTTATCATTACAAACTTAATGGTTTGTCAATTTATCACTTCAAACACTTTGTTATTTTATCAATGATAAATGTAAAATTTGTTTTGTTTTATTGGAAATAATTTTTTTGCTGTTTTTTTTTATTGGCTCTGTTTTAAAATTTTGAAAATTATTTTTAGGTGAAAAATTTTAAAAAATACAAAATTAATAGAGTTTCAAAGATTCCTAAATATAATTTAAGAATTGATAAATATAATTTAAGAAGTAAATAAGTAGGTCAAAATCTTCGCCACCAATATTTTTCATTTTAGTTCATCGTTAGGATACAACAAAATATGATAAAGAAAAAAATGAAATTAAAAAATTGATTTAAATTATTTTTTGTTATTCGATTTTGTATTATCTATACTTAATTATTGATTATATTTAAAAATTAAGCTTTCCTTCTGCTTTATATTAGGCAGGCATAAGGAAATAATTTTAGGCAACTAAAACAAATTTTTTGTTGTAATAAAATTTATATATTTAGGAAATGGTATGGATGAAAAATATTGGAACGATAATTCGGTAAAATAATGTTAATTTTTTTCAAAGAATTTCATAATCTAAAGAATTAACAAAAATTAGTTATTTGAAATTAATCCTTATTAATTCAATTAATTATTTTAGTCTAATTAAAAGATATTCGCGCTTTTCATTAAAATTTATTAAAATTGATTGTTTCGAATTAATTTTGATAATTTTACCTATTCCAAATAGTAATGAATTCATCATTCCTACATTACCGCGATAACTCTTTCGATCCTATCATATGTGTTTAATAATATTAAATTAATTTCAATTAAGAAATGAAATACTTTGTTTTTAATTATTGTAAAATATTTATAGCTTTCACATTCGGTGGATCGAATTCGATTGGAAAAATTACAATTAGGTAGTAATTTAAACCAAACAACAAATAATGGCAATAATAGTATCATTCATAACAATGCGACAAAAGAATCCAATGAGGAAAATAATGTAGAAAATGGGTTTGTCTTTAATATATCAAAGAAATAAAGTTACACATCTATTCTTATTCTATTTCATTTAATAAATGTAAAACTTTGACCGGATTTGAGCATTGAGAGCAATTTAAGATTGGATAGTAGGAGCATTCATTTAATATAAATGACCAGAAATGGTCAAAGATTCTTTCTTTTCTTAGAAATGGTCAAAGATTCTTTCTTTTCTTCTTTAAATGCGATTTTTTATTATGATTCTTTTTCTTACTATGATACTTATTATTATTGATATTATGATTCTTATTATTATTGATATCACGATTATTATTATCATTGATTATAGTAAGTTAATTTCTTTGAAAATAAGTAAATTGAAATAAGTGTATCTGATAAGTAATTAAATAAGATCTTCAGATTTGCTAAAACAAAATTTGACAATTTGGATGGAAACTTTTTGGCAAACAATATTTTACGAAGCCGAAAAATTGAAAACTCAGAAAATGATTTACTCAAACCATCAAAATCCGGAAATTATAACGATAGTACGTTTCATCCTGAATTTTAATTCCAAATAAAATACTTACTGATAAAAATTGATGATTATATTAGTGTGATAAAAGTTACGAGATATAATCCATAGCTAGGATTATTGACAAATTAATTCAAGATGAATTAGATTGAATCATAATTCAGGAATTTATCGATTACTGATAAATTAATCTATTGATTATTAATGTATACTAAATGATCAACGTCATTCTGAAATATTATTTATGACAATAAAATAAACTTTTCACCATTTTCCATTTATCGCTTTTTCGATCAAAATTTGAAATGGACATTTACTGTTTGAATTGGAATATAATAAAATTTATTTCTTATCCTGAAAAAAATCCCGAATATTTCCGGAGAAATGAGTCGTAATGAAGCAATATTTTGTTTGCTATTTCAGGTTATGCACCATCTGAACCAGCAATACCTACTCCTTCCCTTTTACCTTTGATGCAGAAAAGTTTCAGTCATCAGAATTTAGCTTCTCCATCAAAAACTAATGATATTCCTCAGGTGTTCCTTTTAAGTTTTCTTTTTCCTTTATTGAATTTTAATCCAATCTATGGGAATGAAGGAGAAATGAAGGGAAAGATTTAAATGAAATTAATTGAATTTCATATTTTCATCTCACACTCAACAACTGTGGGTAATTAATATTAAAATACTTAGCAATGTTCTATTTAGAAAGATTTAAACTATTAAAAATTTATTGGAAAAAGTAGATTTTATTAGAAGAAAGCCTTTTCCATCCTTTTACCTTCATCCATTAGGCTTTTCATATTTATCTACATGTTAACTTATATCTATCCTAGTCGTTCTTACATTTGCATATTTGTTTTTTTAATAATTATTCTAATAATAATTTTTTGCCTTAACTGATTTTAGCACGGCAAAGCATTACCTAAAATGAATGGAAAAGGTAATACATCATCAATGAAACTGAAGTCTGCTTCATCGATGAGAAGTATCACGTCAAATTCATCATCAATAGCAAGCATATCAAGACGTGAAAGATGTATTCAAAATGTTGAAGCACTGTTGAAGAATCCTGAATCATCGCTTAATGAAGCATTGAAAAAATTTGATGATGAAGATTGGTAGATTTTTTTAAAAAATTTTTTTGAATATTTTAATGTAATGAGAAGTACAAAGAATGTATTATCGATTGTCATGTGTAAAAATATTTTCGTCTTATTTTTATCTTTATCATATTTCCGGAAATTTTGTCAAGAATCTGATATTATAGATTCTACATTTAGCAAATCTAAATGATTTCTTTTTTTCAAGGAATGGAAAACTTTGTGCTATCGAAATGATCGTTACCTTAGCTGAAATGTCACCAGGTGTAGTTGCTGATAATATTCATCGGGTTATTATGAATTTATTAAGTGAATGCAAAAATTTACGTTCAACAGTTTCTCGGACAGCAATTTCCTCTTTTGGAACTTTATTTGAAAATCTCAAAACAATTATGGATTCGGAGATTGAAAAAGTATTGCTTTTGCCTTTGTTTTTATGATTAAATTAGTGTGTAGTTTGGAAAGGTTTCATTGAGATAAAGTATTACCGTTTCCAGTCATTTCAGGTTAATATCAGATATTTTTATCATTTCAGTAATTTCAATGAGATTTTGTTTGATTTTATTATTATCCAAAAAATAAGCCATCAATGAAAAGATTCCTAAGCATTTTTCACTACACTAAAATATTTTTCTGTAAAATTTCTACAGCTGTCATTTAGAAATCTTGAAAAAAAAGTTATATCGAATTTTTCAAAAATAAATTTATGAGTTCTACGAATGCTGGTTTTTACTGGTGTGTGAATTGGAAGAATAAGTGAGTAACTTTAAAACTAACCATGCAATGAATCAGGGGAATAAATTAGGCTGCAAATTATCTTTTGAATGGTATCATAAGTGATTAAGAGATGTTGTTTCCATTCAATTTTTTAATTTTTATATGTAATTAATCCAGGTATGTCCCGTATTAATGCAAAAAGCCGGTGATGTAAGTAATGCATTTATTCGTGACAATGCAACAGTTGCATTAGAAAAAATGATCAAATATGTTTCGCCTGGGCGATCGCTGAATGCATTGGTTACTGCTGGAGCTAAGTAAAAACTTTATAATAATAAGTAACCTAGGGATAATGATTATTTCATAACCCATTAAATTACAAGCAAATGGTTTGCAAGGTTAAAGATTAACAGTTTTAACAAGGTTAAAGCAAGGTTTGCAAGGTATCGGTCAAAGTTAGCAAAAAAGGAAACTAAAGAGGATAATAATAAAAGTTAATAATAATTATTATGATTCTAACATATATCAATCTTTACAATCAATACAACTATCAAACTTTTGCATATATAAAATAGGTAACATAAAATGATGCAATTAATATTTCCGTTAAAAAGATTAAAATCTATGAAAGGACTATTTTAGATAATTATCATTTATATCACATATTATTATCATTGATATATCAGAATAATTCTCATGAATATGCAGAAATTGATAAGTAGACAGAAAGCTAGTGGATAAAAAATTGTTTTCTTGGGGAAATTTAATTTGAAAGATTTTGCAGCTAATATAATTATTTTCGATCCTTTTTGTCCACTTTCTTTTCAGCATTTGCAACATGCAATATCTTACAATATATCACTTTGTACATTTACAACATGCAAATTAAGAAAGTCATTTCATTAATTAAATATGAAATCATATCGAAATTTCTGCAATTTTTGATTAAAGATTTAAAAAAATATATCAGAAATCATTGTAAAACTTTATTAAAATTATCGGCAATCATTAGAAGCAATACAGACAATATTAGTATTATATTAAATCTAATAATTTCTGATATAATTTCTAAATTTTTTCAGAAGTAAAAGCAATACAGTTCGAGCATGTTGTGCAAATTTATTAATAAAATTGGTGGAACGTGTAGGTCCTATAAATGTTATCAGTGGTGCTGAATTTTCGCGTTTCATTACATCATTATTGCTGTTTGCCAAGGATGCAAATGTAACAGTACGAAAGACTGGAAAATATGGAATAAGTCTGCTAAGCCAGGTATAAAAATATATATACATATATAAGTCGTGAAGATTTCAAATCAAAAATCTAGAAATATAAGAAATCAGTTTTATCCGATAACATGAAATTCAAATTTTTCTAGTTCAATATTACAATTTAAATTTAGGAATATATAATGATAATATTGAAAAAAGCCAAAGGGAAAATATCTTGAACTAATAAACTAGCATATTAATGCCAAATTACAATAATAATAGAAGTATTTGTACAATGTCGGAAGATTTGAAAAGAAATAAGGAATTTAAAAATGGTTAAACTAGAAGGACGATCTTATCAGTAATGATAATACTGATAAGTAGATTGTAATAATAATGATAATATCAAATGTAAAAATAAAAATGGCAATAATTAATAGTATAATTTGATAGATTATCTAAACTAAAATATAGCCTAATTTTCATTCTTATAGAACAATGAATTATTTGATGATGCGATACGCAAAAGTTTGAATGAAAATGAACGTCAAAACTTACGTGAAGTGTTAAATGCTATAAATAGAAGAGTTAGTATATAAATTTCATTTCTGATTTTCTCTAAGGCAATTTGTTTTATGACAGAATATAATTTCTTTTGATAAAAAATTGTTAATATCAAAAAAGATGGCAATGACTGATTCTACTACTTTACTATCTAAATAATTTGTTGAACTTTGATTATCTTCATTATTTATATTTTTATTATTATAGGGTTTAGAAGAAAGCAATTTCGATTCATCATCATTATCATTAGGATCAAGCAGTAGAAGTAGCAGTATAAGACGATCTGGTAGATCTGGTAGTAATGGACGAGATGCACCAATGTCACAAGATATAAAACAGGATTTGTTGGAAATTCGAAATAATCTTATTGCTAGCGAGTAATTTCTTTTTTCAAATATTTTTCTTTAAATAACTATATAAATATACCTGGGGGAAAAAAATAATGATTATAATCGATAACTTTTTGAGTGGTAAAGGTTAATGAGATGAAACAGATTTGATGTATAATAAAATAAATGATTTTGATGTGAAGGAAAAATCTGCCAATATGATGTTAATATACAAATTGAATATGTTTATCGCTGTCATTTTAATACTTAAAATGTGTGATTTTTGATTCCCTAAATAACTCAGCACAACAATATAATATTAACCATGTAATTCTACCTAAATTAATAGAAATGGTGATTGAAAGAAATTATAGTTTTGGTTTTCATTAATAAACTTTTTACTGTTGTGGTGAATTTCTTGATCATAAATTAAGTGTTAAATTTTAGAGCAAATAAATATCAGTTATCATAATTTTATTTGATTACTAAATGATAATTGATAATTTATAAATTATCGTTCACTGAACAAATCATACTAAACTGGAATTTTTATTTATGCAAAAATGTATAATAAAAGGGTAACAGTGCAGATTATATTGTTTTAACAGGATTTTTTTAAGATAATAAACATAAAAATAGAATGTAACTTAATGTGATAGTATGTTAAGCATTATTTGTAGATTTCAAACTATCACAAACCACCTTTGACAGGTTATTACTATTTAAATTTGATAAGTTAATTTTGAATCGAATTTATCAGATCGTATTTATTGCGCTTTTTTTAAAGATGGGAACGACGAATGAAAGGTTTAAAACAATTCTCGGAAATGGTAAAGAGGAATGATCGAGCAGCAATATCGGATGCAAACATTTTGGGAGCATTTGTTAGCCGTACATCAGACATCAATTTTAAAGTATCAGTTGAAGCCATGGAAACACTTGTCAGCATTCTTCCGATACTTTCTACGTATGTAACATTGAGGCATTTATCATTTTATTCAGTTATCATTTTAAACGGCATTCTTATTATCGTTCGTGATGAAACAAGCCTTGATATGCATATACATAATTAGCGCATATGAATCAAATATGCGCTAATTAATTGCTTACGCGAAATAAATCATTATCACTACGTTGAAAAACTTAAATAAATTAGACTTGCATCATGGAAGAATGAGAGATTTGAAATATGATGAGGCGCAAAATATCCTTTGCGCCTCATTCATCAAATTTGAAATCTCTCAGAAATAACATCACAAATGATAAATTCAAAAAACCTTTTCGTCCGCAATTTCATTCTTACTTTAACTTTCATAATTTCATTTGATGCAAAAAAAGGGATGCGAAATTTGGTTAGAACTTTATAATTTTAGGTATTTTTCAAATGGTACAACATTGAAAGCAGTGCTATATCAATTGGTCAACTCATTGATGTCACATTTGGCTAGTCGTAGTGAAGGACATCGACAGCATGCCAAATTATGTTTTGAAGAAATCACAAAATATATTGGTGGCTACTTTTTTTTAAACTTTTCAAAATTACTTGTTTTTATTGTAATTTAATTCTAATTGTAAGCTAAAGGTAATTACAGGTAGAGGACATGTAAATATGACAAATATCTCTCTTATAGAAATTTTGAAATGGAAAATGATATGCCAATATTTTTGTTTAATCATTTCATGCTGACAGTTTGACAATCATGGAGTGTTTATTTTTTCAAAGTTTCAAATTGTTTGCTATCATTATTTATGAAAACTTTGAAAATTTCAAGTTTTAGTATTGAAATTTCTATTCATCTTCTATATTTTATCTTTGCCTGTTGCAGAAAATGTAGCTCTTCTGGCACCATTTGCAGCTGCAACAAAGCAAGCTAATGTGAAGCAAAAACCATTTATGTTGCATACATTTAGCAGTAAGTTATTTTGTTTCTGAATAAATTTAACTATCTGAATTATTTCTTTACTTTTTAAAAGATGCATATTTTTTTCAGAGATCAGATATCTGCTAAATTTCCTCATCTTAAATCTCATGCCATATTTATCAGGCCTATGATATCCCCACTATTCAGTTGTTAATTCGTTGAGTGTCACTAAAAGAGTGCTTACCTTGCTGTAATTATTTAAAATATAAGTATAAAAAGTAAGTATAGAATTAGTAAATAGTATATATCATGGAAATAACTTATTTACTTAAGCATATTGTATTGATAATTGGATGAGTTAATTATTTAAAAAATTTTTCGCATATACTTTTGAATTTATAGAATTGGTTCAATCGGTATATTCGATTAAGCCACGACAGGTAGAAGCAGCAGGTCTTCCGGTTCTTTGGGAATTGCTAAGAACACCACCACGAAGTTGTAGTGATCCAGAGGTTCGAGATGCTATTCATCATTATGCTGTTATAATGGCAAAATGTCTTGGCATTAAAACACTTCTGGAATTGTCTACATTCCGGATTAGCCCAAGTCAGAAGAAAACTTTACAGGAATTAATTTCCTGATCCTATGTGATCAATAATGTAGCCAAGTTTTAATATATTCTGTCCATATTTATGTTCTATCCATCATTCCACGTATATGTCGGAAATGAACTTGTAGCATATCTTTTTTTTTCAACTATGATACAAAATGGATTTGATTAAAACAAAAAGTATTTTGTGAAAATCTATAAGTTTAATGAAGCGTGCGTGAAAAAACTTGGAATGACGTGATGTACTTTGACCTCTTAGAAGTGAATGATATCTCGTTCCGAAGAAAATTTGGATTATATACATGACTTATTCAACCAATATATCTTTGAACTTCCATTTTTTCCTATCTTGTTCTGGGCATTGTTTTCGTTTGCCCTTTCATTATTTCTCATTCAGCAATGATAAGTGATAAGCATTGATATTTCAAACGAAATAAATTTGTTGAATTTTACAACACGTTCAAAGAATATTCTTTTTAGTATGTCACGATGATTAATTTTATTTATTCAATGCAGTACATGAAGTAATAAGCTGCTTGTCAGATATAGCTCAAATTCAATTTCAATTCCAAAAATGCTTACGATCAAATTCATTTAATATTTTCCTTTAAATTGCTTATTATTCATATAAACAGTTAAAATAATAAAATGGTAAAATAGTTGAAAGAAAATTATTAACCATAATTAATATTCAGTCTAATAGGAAGATTTAATAATAATTGTTCAGTTAATTTCTCTTAAATGACACATATAAGAAATCGAATATTAATCAGAATTCGGAATAAATTCTTAATGATCTAACCGTATCCGTCCTTCTTACTATTTTCGAGCAATCGATGAGTGTAAGACTAAGAATTTCATTTCGACTACTTTCTTGAGCAAGAGTTGCTGTTTCGGTCGGATTTTTCCACTACTGTGAAGCTTCCTTATGCTTCGTTGAAGATGCCTCCAAAATCGAAGTAAGTGAAGCTTTTGTAAACATTTTCATGAAAATCGAAATCTCGACTAATTTTGGCAGTCACGTAATAAACGTAATGTTGCGTTTCCATTTGTTGGTAACCGGTTGACTCGGTATGGATATATATTGTTTAATCATACTTTCCAGTTGCTACATGCATTGTAAGGAATTTGAAATATCATCATCAAACAATTCTATTTTAATCCAACTACTAATCTGTCAGATTTTTGATGGTACACTTATTGTTACATTTTTATGATCTTTTTCATTCACTGTTACTTGCTGGAAAGTTGTTTTTCTTCTTACAAAAGTCCATTAATTCCCTTTTCATAATTTAAATTTCCAGATATGTAATAGTACAGTTAGCCAGTGTTATATCAGGTTCCACGCGTATATGGATACGTGAGCGGGCAGCAGATAAATTCCGTGGAATATTTTATGATCCTGCAGGTAACTATTTTATGCAAAATCTTTCATGTCTTATAAAGTATTTACTTTTTATTATAAGAATTTTGTTGTCTTTACTGTATTGTAAGAATTCTTTAATTATCTTGATCTACTTAATTATTTTTAATTATAAGAAACCAAAGTTACGATCAGCTCATTCATCTTGTACATCCTGAAAAAAAATCTTCTAAGATGCTTTTAACGGTGAAGGAACTCAAATGCAAGTCAAAAAGATCATCTCAATGGGTAGGTAGGTAGAGTAACGGTTGAAGAAAAAAAGGAAAACAATTGTAGAATTGTTTGTAGAATTGTTTTCCGTAGATGTTATTTATTGTTTCAAATGCTGGTTTTAGTCTAATTTCTTCATATACATTGTAGCATATATTCCAAAAGTTTTTTCTGAGCCTACGAGCAGCTGTTTAATGGGTTTTAATCTTGATCGCCAGTAAACTGAAGTACTTAACCTAAAATTTACTACTAAACAATTATAATTTATGGTAGTTGAGTAATTTTTATTGCTTAGAAGCTTTTTCCGGAAATTTTCCACATTATTGTATCTTGTTTTCATTTATTAGTTTAATTTGTTTTTCCAGCATTGAATTTTAACAGAATGCTTTCTTTCCAGTTGGACGTGAAGTACTCTTTGAAGAAAAGCAAAAAGTGAAAGGAAAAGCAACATTACCAGAGAGTGTAAAGCGGCGCTTCAATTTAACATGAACGAAATGTGTTAAAACTCGAAACAACATCTTTTTTTGCTGTGAACGACTCATTGTCGCTTCCATAAGAAATTTGATTGCATGGAATTCAGGATGTAGTCATGCACATATATATATTATTTATATATTTTCTATAATGCTTTATGGTATTTGTTTTCATTTTTTGATTTATTTTTATAATCCAGAAACCCATACCGATGAAAATTTACGGTTTTCTGTTCAAGATATTTGTATAATTAAAACTTTTTAAGAACTTATTTAAAAAATCTTTTTTAGGAATTTTCCTTGTCTTGAAAAATCTACTAGTTTACTCCTCGAAAGCTCTTTCTCTTCCAATTTTTATTTTGAATTTCTCTTGTGAATATTTATTGATTTTCTGAGATTTGCGTTTATAATATTTGATAGAATGAGTTGAGGCAAATTTTATTGTTTATTTGCTGTGCTGAGAGAAATGCTTTAATTATAAATGCATTTATGCAATTTCTCTCAACACAAGAGATTTAAAATTTATGTTGCTATGTATATATATATTGTTATAAAGATTTAATTGCATTTATTTTCGCATCACTGCAGTTGATTTTTTTATCGTCATATTTACAATTTGTTCATTTTTTGCCTCATAACTGGTGCGTGAGCCATTCGACATTTTATCATCATCTAGGGTTGAATTCACTCTTTGAAATGGTTTTGTGGAAGTTCATATTATAATATATTTTCTTCAACCAGATATGACTAGCTTTATCAACGAAATTGGGTGATGGAAGCATTATGATAACGCTTCTTATAGCTTTCTTTCAGAATGGAAGATCAGGTTCGAAATGAATCACTAGACCACAATCGGTTTAGTGTAACAATTAGGATTTGGATTGCTTTTATAGTGGTGCTTATTTCTGTACTTGCATATATCCTGAAGAGAAAGCTTACACGTGGTAATACAATTCTTATCGTAGGATTGTGCGATTCCGGGAAAACTATGCTGTTTTCGAAGTTAATCAATCCAGGTATTATTTCATTTTACTATTGACTCGGACATGCGGTTCGATATGACTCTCAGTTATTGGTCAGTGATCCTCGATTTTTTCTGTTACCTAACTTTTTAGTTATGCAATGAAGAGGATTAAAATGTTTGTTGGTGTACAAAATCAATCAGTTCTGACAAAATCCCTCAGTACAGAAGTTATTATATAGCAAATTACAACTATTATTCAGTTCTCATCGCGAGAACAACTGTGTTACTGTATTTTTCTTAAAATTCTGAAGTCTCAGAGGAACTGAATCTTCTCCAAAAGTTGTAAGTAACATTTTTACACTTTTCAGAATACAGTCCAGAAACTTATACATCCCTAAAAGAAAATCGTTGTGAAGACGTTTCGATAACAAGTGATAAATTGGTTACCTTAGTTGATTTTCCTGGATCTGAAAGGCTTCGAAAGCAGCTTTTTGGGAACTACTTACAGAAAGTAATTATTGAATAATTATTGCATGTAATAAAGATATTGTACTCTTAATTCAATACGCTTAAATTTTGCAACTTACTTCTCTGTTAGCTGTACATTTCCAAAAATTTTCCGGAAATATAGAACTAAATATAACATGACAGATCTATTTTAGCAATCCAGTACTTCAGTGAGATGAAAAATTTTTGAACACTAAACCTGTTATTTAATAACCTAGAGGTTTATGAAAAAATGTTAGATTTTCAAATTTGAAATTTGGTGGTACGTCAAAATTTATTTTAGAATCGAAGTAGCTTGAAAGGCATTGTGTTTGTCATCGATAGTTCAACATTTAGTAAGAGATCCCGCGACGTGGCAGCATTCCTTTATGATGTCCTATATGAGTCAGAGAAGAAAATTCCGATGCTTGTGGCATGCAACAAGCAGAATTGTCCTTTGGCTAAAAGTTCACAGGCCTGTTTCTATTTTTGAAATTTTCTTGAGATCCATTATTTTTATTGCGATTTTGAAAGCTTCTGAATTCATTCCTTTTGATGTAACATCCGACTGCTCTCCAGGGTTTCGAGAATTAGTAGCCTATTTCTTCGGGAAATTTTTGAGGTGTACCGCAATTAGTTTTTGAAAAAATTATGCGATTAAGATTTGTAAGATCAATTGTTGAAGGCTGTGCGAACGGCGCTGGAGCGGGAATTTGGTTATATCAATGGAACACGTGAAGCAGCTTTAGATTCCACTGATGGCATAGCAAAAAAAAGAACTCTAACTAGTACAGGCATGTTTTGCCTTTACGATTTATTATATGAAATATGGTGCTTTTATAAAAATCGAAAACCAGATTTGGAATCCAAACGTTTTAATCAAAAACCTAAAAAGTTGAAGCAGTTAGTTTCAGAATTTTCTGGAGATTTCCAACGATATCAAAGATTCATTCTTACAAAAGCTTATTTGTTTTTCAGGTAAAAGTTTCCGTTGGGACGATTTATCATCGCCACGCTTGGATTTCATTGAGTGTTTTGTAAAGGAGGATTCTGAAGATGGTGGTGATAAATATTGTGAGATTGGTGCAATACAAAGTTGGATTGCTAATCTATGATTATTATTTGATTGGAATTTTGGAAATCAAATTAATTAATTTATTGTTCATATATTATTATTATCTATGAATAAAATTTCGATAATATTTTAACGTTTAAAATTCTTACGCATTTTCTTATGCTCTCTGATGTATTTATTTACTGAAATCATAAACAACCACATATTAGATGATATACCTCATTGAGGACTAGTGGTGTACTTATTCTAGTTTTGCATATTTGCTTTACTTTGTTAGTTGATAAATGTTCAAGAATTCTGATCGGGAAGATCAATAAGTTCTCGCGATTCGGAAATATCTTTTAATTTATTCCAAAATATGGTCATGTTGTTACATGAAGTCAATTTATAGTTTGGAAATTCATGAGTTCAATTTTTCAAGTCAAATTATGTCAAGTATCATGATGCTCTTACATTTCTCTCTCGAACTATTTGCATTAAGAGTGCTGTGGGAGATTGCTATGAAAGCTAAGTTAAGTTGGACAGCACATTGTTAATAGTCCTAGCTTGTGTACTTGTTAAGGAAATATTAGAATGTAATAGTTGGTTTATTTCACATATATATCGCTGCCACCTAATAAACTCTTTTTGAAATACTTTTTTTTTCAGCATGTATCCATGAAATAAAAATTTATTTTCAGGTATTTTTGCGGTATCTGATTCGTGAATTGGACTCAAATCCGAAGTAACCGGTTGAATCGGTTATCAGGATTTTGATCAAAAGTTTTTGTCTATGTTTTGCCGAAGGTACTCATTATATTTAGAAATTTTCGTTCTAAAATATTCTTTCAATTTTTTAGTTTGACACTTTTAATAGGGGGTAAACTCATGAAACGTTTTTATTTACCTCTCGAGTTATCAAAATTATCAAATGTATTACATTCTTTTTCCATACATTTTAAAATGTCTAATTTAGAAATAGAGGTAGATATTATACGTATTTTTTTTAAATAATAGTTACAGATGTATGGATTAACTGCTTGTAACATTCAGCGACTCACAGCACCAGACGTTTATTTATATGTCTCGAAAGCACTGGCATCCGGACGATGGTGGCCGCAGCCATTGTTAGTTTGGAAATTTCTCCAATTGTTCTTATAAGTTTATAAAGTTCCAAAATTCCGAAATTCCATTACTGTTAAAGTTTTGCTCGAGTAGAAGTTTAATATGTGTTCGTGAATTTCGTAAATTCCATACATAGTATATGGGATTGTTCGTTTTCATTTGAGTTAGTTTTCGAGAAACATATGATTTCTAAATAATCAGGAATCAGATAAAGCAATTTAAAAAGGTTATTTGTTTATAACTTGAGGCTACTGGTCACATTTTCTCTGATTATTACTCAATTATTTTCACTACGATAACAAATCATTATTAATTAAGTAGTGCAGGCTCAAAATAGCGACATAAAAAAAGAAATATGCCTTGTTGAAGTAGAAGCGAAATATTTTGACGGTTTCTAACCGGTTGTTATTTAGAAAATTTTCCGTTCTTCAGAAAATGAAAATTGTTTTTATAAGACAATATAATCATTTAAGCTTTGGAACAAATGCTTGAAATATAAAAATATCATAAGTGAATTTAAAGAATGCTAAAGATTCTGAAGTTTGAACTGACATTCATCAATTTAAATTACCTGTACACTTATCCCTTTTCCTGGACAACTTCTGTGCTCTTTTTTCACAATTTTTTTATTCTTTTTTCTTTTCCTTGGAAGTGAAATAATGTTGCAAACAAAATAAATTAATTGATACTTTTCTTACTCTAGCTTTTCCCTAATTTATTTCCTTTGAGAAATCCTCTTTGTTTTATTTCATTATCGGAACTTCTGTCATCTTCAATTTACTGCTGACATTGATAAAAACCATATAGTACAAACTCATCAATCACATCTTTTGAACTTTTCCGGATTTTTGCATAATTGCTTTTTGTAGATGAAGTGCAGTAAGTTTTATACATATTTCAGGCGAGATACATTTTGTCGCTCTAATAGTATGTCCTATTACTTTACTGATATAAGGAAATTGAGGAATTCGGATCCTTCTGAAGAAATGGAAAAGGCAATAGCCACTACTAATATTACTAATGAACCAGCTGTTTTTACATCCACAAAAAGCGAAGAAGAACTGTCGGATATTGATAGCTTCCTTAACTTGCCACATGAAATGGCAGCACCTATATATGCTAAATCACGTGGAACTGGTAAAAATATTTACAAGACAGAAATTGGTGAAGATGGACAAATTATAGCGAACTATGTTTTATTCGAAGATTCGATGGCAAAGGCGAAGGTAGCATGGCAAACATATTCAGAAATGACGGCTGAGGAACGTGACATTTATATGGCGCATTTGAAGGCCGTCCGAGAGCGACGGTTTTCGTATAAAGATCCAAACAAGGGTTTTCCGGTAATGACTGTAGCGCAACATCTGTTAAGAGGAGAATGTTGCGGCAGCGGTTGTCGTCATTGTCCCTTCCAACATGAAAATGCTGAATTGCAGATTAGAAAGTCAAAAATATGGAATGGTGCCTTTTACGTCTAGGTTCAGGTAAAAGTGCGGGATTAGCACTTCTTCGCTGCAAGTACGTTTTCAATTCCCGGAAGCAAATAATGCTTAAATATTATCGTATTGATTTGCATCGAAGTTTGCAAATTCAGTAGATTCTGGAAATTATTAGATTACGAGAAAAAACAGTTACAACAATAACTATTTTTTGTAAAAATGAGGTGTGCAGTGGGGAAAAAAAGATAAGGGTAAGAAATACGGGAGAAATTTGCTGCAACGATTATACCCAAAAACAAAGTGCTTTTCATTCCTCTTCAGTTTATTAGGACGACTGAAATGGACATAAATTAGGATAGTACATTTGGACTGATTCTGGTATTTCTGGAATCGAGAGATCCATAAGATGTCTCGTATGTTTATGAACTACGCAATGTTTTGCTGTATTTATACAGTAAAATACTTTTTTATTGTTTTTAGTGAGCCTGGTGAAATATTTCCCGAAATATAGTTTAAAGCGGTTGCTTTTATTGTAAACTACTGTACTCAGTCTTTTCGATTACCTTAATTATGGACAATTGATGATATTACGCCTGCTCTATTAATTATTCACAATTACCATCTAATAGTTGAAGTTTTAATCATTATTTTCATGCTATGTGTGGTCTTACTTGGTTCTGGTTTGTTGGTATTTGTATTTTTTTCTCATTTAGTACTTTCTATATGTAAAATAAAAAATATTGATATAATCTGCAAATATGTTAGTGAATCTTCCATATCGGATTAATGGTTAGAACTGCTGCCCGATTTTATGCGCCATCATAAATATGTATTATATATTCATTATTAGTGTTTGTCAGTTGATTTTTCGCATTAAGTTGATAAAATGAATTTAGAGTATTATATTTATGTTGCGCTATAAATAGTTTTAATTAGGTAGTTGTTATGAAGTGCACGATATACGTAAATATTGGAATAAAGAGGTTATCTGGAAATTCTGTGAGGATATAGCGCATACTTTCGGGAGTGAAGAAATCAGTTTTTCAAGAAGAAATCAGGAATAAAGAGGAAAGAGAGAGTAAATACTAGAAGTCACTCGAAAATGTGAAATGCATTCCATCTAGCATGAAGCTTTGTATAATAAATTCAATCTGACAGTAACTATAGCATATTAAAATAATATAGATCGGAAACCGGTAACATCTACGTAGTTCCTGACCTTGTTTCAGGTACGAATTAAGTCGACATCGAACTAGGCCACCCAGTACAGGTATAGAGCGACGCACACGATTGCTGGTTGTTGACAATTCGGCACTCGGTAAAGAGGCCAATACATCTGGTAAATTAGCCTATTGCATCAATGTTTATAAACCGGGCAGCCGAAAAAAGCATATGCCCCATGCGACGCTTGGCGACAAGGTAACGCTCTCTGCCGTTATGAATTCTTTGCACATGAGAGGTCATTTTGGGGCTCAGTGGGTAATATATAAATCATTTTGTCGAGGTCGAGGTAAATGGGGGAAATAATGATTATGGGACACAATAATTCTATAAAATTTTTTAAATAATCAAATGATCGAAGAACAGTCAAAATTCAGATTTGCCATAAACGGACATAATCTCATACTTAGATTCTGGTTGCAATACGAGGAGAAATGAAGCAAGCGTTTGTGGTGGGAGCTAAAATTCATGTAGACTATCGAAAGCATGGAATACCTTCAACAGATACCAATAACATCGTACTTCTTGTAAGTACCAATTTTGATAATTACATGTTACCCGAAGAATGGATTACTTAATGGGAGCAGTCATTGGAATTAATTTGATTTCTTTGAAATTCTCTTCTCTTTGATACTATGTTTTTAATTTTTGTCAACCTTCCAATCTATTTATGCTTAACTTCCCTTACCATCTTATAAGTTAAACTTTATATTTTTGGAAAATGCACAATTTTTTTCTAGGATGATGAAGGAAATCCTCTTGGAACCCGAGTATTGATGCCAATTCCAGCAATTCTTCAACGGAAACGAGCAAATTTACAATTTTCAAAAATATTATCAATTGCTACGAAATATTTCTAAATTATTTAGATATCTTTTATTGTTTGTTGTTTTTCCCTTTTTTTTCTCTCACATTAATGCATAACAATACTTTTTTGATATTTTGACTTTTTATATTAAAAATTTGTACTAAATTATATTAAATTACAAATAGTATTAAAGCTACATCATCGCACCTGTTACCAGCTGTGTTTCAAACAAATCCACAACACGTTTTATATCTTTCACTTGTTGGGACAATTTTCGTATGCCAACCATTGCTTCATTGACTTCCTCAACCTGATAAGAAGAAAGTATAAGATAAAAACATTGTATACAAGCCAGATGATAACTGTTTGCATCTGAAGATGTATTTATATTTCTTATCCAAGATAAGTTCTCACCACAAATATAAATATATCCTCAAATGGACAAGAGATAAAATAGATGGTGTAAGGTCTACATATAAAAATAACCAACGGAATGGACGAGGGATAAAATACAGAATTTATTTTACACATTTAAAGCGTCGATAAGACTTATTTTTTTCAAAATTTTATTTTATTAAATCTAAAAATCGAAACAACTACTTACTTTTGCTAGCAAGGCATAAGTATTTTTAATGGTAGCATCCACCGAATTACAGGTAGCAGATATTGCATCAGCAAAACATTCCATGGATTGAACAGTTAACTCACTCATTCCTGAAAGTCTGTTTATATCTAGTATATATTTATATTTCTTATCCAAGATAAGTTCTCGCCACATATATAAATGTATCTTCAAATGGACAAGGGATAAAATAGATGTGTAAAGCTGGCATACAAGCATAATCAATGGAATGGACAAGAGATAAAATACAGTCACTAATATTTCTACGATTTTGAAGGAAAGAAAAGAGAACAAATGATTAAAAATGTTTCTGAAAACCAGAGTAGGAAAATTACGAAACTGGAGATTGGATTAAGCAGAGCAACGGTTAATTTGCTTAACAACTTTCTGTACGTGAAGTGTACATAGAAAAGGACATAGGGATATATGATGCAGCAAGTAATGGGAACTCATGGAGATTTCCACTGTATTACAACAAGCAATTCAGTGTCACTTCGAAACACTCCAAGCGTGTTGAGCACTTTTCGTTGTACTAATTGTCATAAGAGGTGCAATGAATGGGAAGAGGTGTACCTATAACATAATCATTGTATAATTCCAACTAAAGACTTACCGTTCAGTGAGCCACGTAAATCACGTAATACAACATCTATATTAGTTGAAATGGTTTTTGCATAGCTCTCAAGACTTGTCAAGACCTCGGGATCAGGTACAAGACTATTTGAGATACTCTGCAACGAGGATCGACTTTCATCCGATGGTATACTGCTTAATTTGACACTATCACGAATCCGTCCCTCCAGATTTTCAACTACGAAAGTATGTTGATGATCAACGGCTGAAGAACTGGATGTAGTTGCCTGCATTCCGATTTCCAGATTTCTTACATCGGTAGGTTGATCCATTACTATGGGAATTTGCGAAAACGTTGAAAAATCTCTCGGTTCGTTTCTGAAATGAAAAAAATTGGACAAAATTCATTTTCATTCACGGTAACAATAACATGCAGGAGAAAGGCGTTCATTTCACCAAAACAGGATTTTCAAGAACTTAAAAAGGAGACCTTCCGTTAAATTCAACATTACGCACAAGTATTGGAAAATGAGAAATTTTGAAAGATAAGAGACCATGAAATTACACACGGTAAAAAAAGAACTGCGACATCACTCAATTTCTAATAACGCACATTTAGATCGTCATCAACAATAAATACTCGAAAACTGGTTACTACAAAAATGTGAAATTGAAAAGTACTTTAAATATCACGTGCGCGATTTATTTCAGTCAAGATCTTCAAATAACTTCTGTAAGCTTAGCGTGGATAACTTGTGCGAAAAGTAACGAATATAATCCACCAAACCTCCTGGATATTAAGATGAAAGAGAGCACACAACAATACCATTACAGATCAAACATACATTAAATAAATGAAGGTAAACAACTCTTTCGGTTTACGACGGCTCATCTTAGATTGTATTCATTGCATCAGAACAGGTTGGTGTGATTATTTTAGTGCTGGCATCAAGGTCGAACATAGAGAAGTCAGCAATATTCGTGATTTGGTGTATCACGCAAAAAATAGGGGCCGGGCAAAATTTAACTGTTTTCTTCGCCTTACTTTTTCTTACAAAAAGAAAAATGTTTATATATCTCAAGCTGTTAGTTACAGGTCAAAAATATGGTAAACTATGTAGACATATGTATTACTATTTTCTGCACATTTGTGGTTCATTGTACTCTCTCTAGTAATTTTTCATATAACAGCAATACGTCACTATATATGCAGCTTTAAAAAATGTTTGATAATATTAAGAAGGAAATTTCTGAAAAGATTTCAAAAAAGTTTCTAGCAAAAACTTTTCATTATTAATTTTACGTTAGATAAAATTTGCAATATTAGTCAATTGTTCTAAGCCGACGTTTTAATGTTTTACTCTTAGATTTAAAAATCTACTTTAGGATTTAGGAGTTATAAACGAGTTTTTAAAAATTATTCCCCTTGAAAACTCCCAGAAATATTCATATTCTTATTCAATGAAATTGCTATGATACTCCTTAGGCTTTTCATAGAAAGATTATCATTCTCCTAAATTTATTTCTTCTCTATCTTATTATCATGTTGTAATGAATGTGATAATTATAGCTTACTCTCATCTTGCTATCCTTCATTTTTATTCCATTCCTTCATTTTTATTTATCATTTTTGATAACTTACTCTTCCACTTTTAATTCAAAAATTCGAAACAGTAATTAACAAGTCCTTGCTAGTCCATTCAGTTATTATTCGTAACTTTGTCAGATCATTACATGATGCACCAGTTACCATAAAACTGCATTAAAATTTAATATCACCAGATTATCTAAATCTTCTGTAGCACATCGCCCGATGCATTTAATAATTCGATTCGTTATCTGGTGCGTTGTCAAATTTTAAAATATATCATGGACTTTATTTCCTTAATTGATGTAATTTAATTTTCAAAATTTAAAATTTTAGAGGAGAATGACTTTTTCCAATAAATTTCATCGGCTAAATCATTTTAAACATTATAGATTGTGAAGATATGGAGTTAGGCCGGTCTTAATTAATTTTTATTCTAATGTTTAATTTTATTATTGGTTATAATAGCGTCATTGAAATGAATTTATAGGGATTTCTTATCATGTCAAAGTTATATGTTCTCCAGACTTTCTATTATATTGCGATTGAAACTTAAATGATTAACTGCTTTATGCTTTATAAATAACAAATTTACGATTTGAGCAGCTAATTACCAATTTAATTATCAGAGGTGCCATATATGACAATTTTATTGTACTTTCTTCTGTAGTTTGTAAATTCAGTGAGAATATTGTCCACAGGAAATGTTTACCGTACTGTCACTAGAAATGAAGCTAAGATATAAGTGAAATTTTATTTGAATGGGAGATTAGATTTTGGATTTATTTAATCTCACTTATTGATAAAAAATCAAGCTGCTATTTATTGAGTAAACAAAATTTAAAGTCCCCATTGACAAAAGCAATAAATGATGTAACTTGGGTTTTCAATGCGCAAATTAATATCCTGCCAATAAAAGACTTAGAATAGCCCAGAGATTTTCCCATGTATAAAAATCGACTACTACCATCTTGAGATTTAGTGGGACTTAATTACAGCGAAATTAATAATACACATAATTTTAATTCCGATTAGTTTTCAATTTAGAACCTCATGTTTGATAATCATTCTTTTATTATTAAAATGTCAAGTTATATTAATTACAATGAAGGAATGAAAAAGCTGATATTGTTCTGATGAACTGTAAAATATTTGGTATTTAAACAAATTATATAAATAGATCGTAGTAGATAAAGACTGGTGGCCTGTGTTTGACGTGGTACGATGTATTGAGTCATTACTGATTCACATATATGGTCTTGGATTGTTTTCGGTAGGATTAAGTTACGCTAATATATAGCAATATATAGTGTAATAAGGTAGCGATAGCCTGGTTGTATGGCCTTTATCGTATGGTTTTTTCAAGCTAATTTTTTTGTTGCTAGTTATTAGCCTTGCAAGGAGATGAATATAGCTAAGAAGTTTAGTTTGTTTGCGGTAATCGTTCTATGACACAAACTTCTTATCTCATATTCATTTATTTCTCTTGCCCATGCTAAAAATTGTCCTAATATTTCAAGCATCAATTTTTTTAAATGTTCAATAGTTTTGTTCTCTATTCTACCATTTCCATATTTTATTACTAATTCTTTCAGAAGAAATATGAGCACTTAAGAGAAACGTTCAAAATTACTATCCTTTCGGTACAATCATTCAAAAACTATTTGGAATAGAATAAAAATCAGGAATTACTATTCTCTTCCCCCGTACGAACTTATCTTTTCATGTAATTTAACAAATTACCACAAATAATTAATGTGAGGAAAAGCAATTATCCGAAAAGTAAATTATAAATCTATTTTAATTAATCGACATCAAGTATACCGAAAACGAAAATACGTGTATATGTTTAAAACTTCCTTATAGATGATGGATCAATAAGGAAAAGGCAATAATGAGAGATGGGACTTTATTCGTCTAAAGCTTGATGTTGCTTCAATCGTTTCTTAGAAGGAAAGAATTGATGCTTTATCACTATTGGATATGGTCATCCGTTGTCCATTGGATAAAGCTAAGCGATGTGCTGGAGAAATAAAGTAATAGCTCTTACGCTTACTACATCTGTTCTAGTCCTCTCTCAAATGCATATATGTGGACTTGATGTACGCATGTATGTGTATGTATGTATGTGTGTGTCACATCCCTATCCTTCTTTGGTTATAATTCCTTACTGGAAATCTGTCGATATTCTTTGCTAGGATTAATAAAGAAAACCTTTCTCTTTTCTTTTTAAGTCTTGTGCCGTTATCCTCAACTATATGGCATCAAATTCTTCACTGCTTTCTTAAATTCATTAAAATTCAAATACAGAGACATACATACACATACACACATACAGATGAATGAGCACACATGCATACACACGAGCACATACATATAGACATATGCACACACATATATATAGACACACACACACACACACACACACACACACACACACACACACACACACACACATACACATTTCGATTTACGTTTGAATTGAAAACATATAATGAGAAGCAAGCAGTGAATAGTTATTGGAGTATGAGTAGAAAAATCGTTGCATTTTTTTTTTGTCAAATTTTGTAAAACGTGTTTCGCCGTTGTATCAAGCATGCACGCTTCATGCTTTTTTCATTTTTACTTGCAGAAAACAACGGTGATAACTGCTGTGTGCTTTTTAACATAACTTATGATCATTTTTATTATAACCAGATTTGGTAGGATAGGTTTGTTTTAATTTACAGCGTACTAATTCATCATCTTTTTTTTTACCCATTTCAAAGATATGAATTTTTTTAATTTTAAATTTCATAAATTTGTCAAAATAGTTTAAAATGCATGCATGCTTGAATTTCATTGAAATATGAAGGAAAATTCTGCTTCCGACATTATAACTCCACTCCATAGTTCACATCTTCACATTTCATATCACAATACTGTCTAGTAGAATAATTTGAGATTTCCAAATCTCCTTCTCATACCTTCCTTCCAACAAAAATAGCATTTCATTTACAGACTGTCGACAAAACAGTAGTAGTTATTATCCCTGTTTCAATAATTCATCATTTGATGTAACATTAGTTCTACAGTAGTTGATGTGTAACTTATTGCAAGTTACAAACGCTTCATATATTTCATCTGATGACATTACCTTTGTGGAATTTGTTGTATGATATGCAGTTTTATTAGCATTAAACTATTTTAACTTTTAAATTAATGGAAATCCAACTAATATTACTAAATTTTGTTTGTGAAAAATTTCCATAAAGGATAGATCGATATCTAAACGAGAAATATTATAGCTTTTAGTGCATATATAAATGAAATTTTTACGAATGAGGAATAAAATGAAGTACTCCAAAATTATTAAAATGTATTATTGATGTTTATGAATGTCTTATCCCCATTTCATCTTTCAAATTCTTCCGTTCTATGATATTTCCCCTTTAATTTGTCCCTTTTTTTTTAATAAATTTCAAATATTCACTTAGCATTATTAATTTTTGGTCATTTTAACGGAATGAGTTATTCCATAACTGTGTTGATTGGCATGAATTAGCTATGAAGTAGACTAAATTGCTATCTCATTCCAAATAGTATCCGTGCTAACAAATTACCTTCATTCTTTTCATTTATCTTTTTTTTTCTTGTTTAAAATAATTTAGTATTTTCTGATTCATATTGAGCATATATATTGGTATTATTTTATATTATTGAATTATAATGAATAAAGAAAAAGAAGTTAGAATATTAGCAAAGAGTAAAATACGATAATTGAAGAAGTTTAACAATTGGTGGATAGACTTTTTGAAAGACTGATAATTAAATCAGCATTCTACGATAAGCATAAAATTAAATTCGATGATAGATCGCTATTGTTCTTTCTATATACTGTCAAATTTCTAGCTTTTAATATATATATATTTTTTTGATTCAGGATGGCAAACCTCAAATACAGTTGAAAGAAGTCAGCGAAAAAAATTCCGTTAATTAATAATGGAATTAATTATATATACTGATAAAATGTAAATAAACTGCTGACAGAGATAAGAAAATGTCATATTTTTTAAGAAATTTTGATCTCGGTGAATCACATACGAGCTGTGCGTCACCAAATATTTCACTTCATCCATCAAAAGACAATAGTAATGTTTTTCTTTTGGAGTTGTCATTATTTTAGATTATTTCTGCATTATTGCTATTAGTATCACGATTTATTTATGAGCTTTAGTATTCAATTATTTATTGAATTTAATCACATAATGTAAAAAAACGTATTAATTAAGAACAACATATTAGAAATGCTATGTTAAGAAGGCTAATTAAAAGTGACAATTATACAGAACTATATTTTCTGTTCCATGAATCAGATAATAAAGTTTGCAGGTTTCGTGCATCCAAAAGTAACATCATGTCAGTATGCGCAACTGTTAAAATATTGCGCGAGGCTTCCACAGGGTGGTCACGTTCTGCGTTTTCCAACTGTTCGTCGACGATCTATTTGTGCATCCACGGATTTCGATAGTAAGTGAACAGAAATGAGGATTGTAAAATTGGGAGATTGCAGAAATTAGATTGTAGATACACGTCAAAATGAGAGGAGTGAAAATCTTTTGCATGAAATAATATTCACTTTAGAAAGTTTAAAGCTACTGATTTGGTTGTGACATTTAGCTGAAGCAGGCTGGGAAGGTGATCGTTTTCGAGTAATGGTTGTAGGCGGGGAAAGGCGAGGTACTGATGGAACAGATCATGGATTCCAGGAAGCTTCATTAGATCTGGCACCTTATTTGGAGATCCTTGCAACTCCCTCAACCTTTGGAGTGGTTGCTATTGCCAGAGCTATTATTTTAAAGTCAGTTTGTTTAAAAAAATTTCCATTTTTTAAATCGATATTTTGAAAATCCAATTTTTGTATTTGAACTGAAAAAATCTTTAAATATCATAATAATCGTGGTAGTTGGAGAATTTCTATTGCATTGTGTAAATACTTTTTTGGATTTCATTTTCAGATATGCTCCATTTCTGAAAGTAACTCTTTCGTCATTTGGCGATAACAAAGTCGATTCTCAACCTGTTGTAGAAGTGGAATGCAAGGATGAATCTTTGGAAAAAGTAAACACGCATTCTTTGAAAAAGTTATTAGTTCAAATGAAATAACGATATGATTATAAAATGCGCATTTGTTTTACTGTCGGAATTAATTATTCAGTTCATTCCATATGTCGAAATCGTTTTGAGTTAGTCCCCCACGCAAAACGCAACTTTGAAATAACTTATTTTACTTTTTAAGGCTCCGAAAATATAACAAATGTTACAAAAATAAGCCGAAAATAATACAAAATGGCTTTAATGTGATTATTTCTGGTGATGTAATTTGAATTGGAGCAATTATAGAAATCTGTTTGAATAATAACTTCATCAATCTCTTGTTTGAAATAGGTTATCTCGTAGTTCTGCAAATGATGGCATCCCACTAATGCATTCCATGCTAGGACAGATTAATAGATTAAGGATTGCAATTTCGTAGAAGTATTAAAAACACAAGTGTATTTTTTCAATTTTTAACCTTCATTTAAGGTTTTTCGACATAAGAAATTTTGAACTAATGCGATTAATTCTTCCGACATATTTAAAAAGTTTTATACTTTCAAACTTTTTGTTAAATCTATCATGGTGATAGTGGGAATAAGCGTTGGTAATCATTCAGCTATAACATTTTGCTAAGTGCATCAAGCAAAATTTCTATTTCTTTTAATTCATGCTGAATTGTTACATTTTTAATCTTGTTTTTACCAAACTGAACAAATTGAACTAAAATTTTGTGCTTAATTAATAAATCAGAATTTTTTAAGTTCCTTTGCTCTATTTTTTATTGGAATAAAGAGAGAGCGAAATTATAAGACAAGAAACTAAGGACGAAAATGACAATAAAAGTGAGGCAGAAATAATATTTTACCCTTTACATTTCTGGTTAGCGTAGGAATAATGTAATATATGTAGAATAAGATAGAAATGAGAATGAAATAGTAGTAGATTGTTTGGGAAAAAAAGATCATCCAGTTATTTATAGAATGTTTCTCTGATATTTCAGATTCCAGGCGGTGGAAATGAAATAGTTTTATTGGGATTGAAATGCATGTTTTCGGTGTTGTATGAATTGAACAAGCGTGAATCGGAGCTTTGTGCCAAAGTTCTTACCTCTTTACTTCATTTGCTGGAACATACTCGAACCGATGCTTTAGCCAATGAAACTTATGTTTCAGTACAAAGCATGTTTCATATGCTCTATCAATTAGGGATGGAAGGTTTGTAAAAAGTTGAAAAATTCGATAATTGAAATTTAAACTTTAGTGCTGTAAAGATTTTTGCAAAAAAGCATTTAGCATAAAGCTTTTAATATTAACTGCTCATCCATTCTTCTGTTTGTTAATACACAAATGTATTTAAGTGATTATCTTCTTTTTCTACTCTTTTTGTCGTTTTTTTGTTTTTCCATTTTAGAAATATTTTTCTTGAGAATTTAGAATCTCAGCATTTATTTACATCGTTTCAAATATAGTTCTTGAATTTTACTCGTTTTGTAATTTCTGAATATTGAAATGAAAAATTTTTTGCAAGATTCAAGTAAAATTTGAATTAGATTTCAGGTGGTCCCGAAGTATCAGCGAAAGCAGTATCGTGTATGATTGCTTTAGCAATTGCTTATGGTGCTCCAGAATTCATCCTTTCATCAGTAGTCACTCTCTTCTGTGATAAACTCAATAACTTATCAGCTAATGCAACTATATTAATTGAAGTACCTGAAAATTATCAGAAATTAGCAAACTTGGTGCGACGGACTCTGCTACGAAACAGTAATGAGCCAGGATGGTAAATATTGAAGTTTTTGTGGAATGCGACATTCAAAACCGTTCCACTTTCATTTCTTAATTGGTGCAAAATAACAGTAATAAATTGAAATCAAAAGAGTATCAATTCATTACCATGGGAATAGAAAGGTCATTTTTGCTATTAATGCCAAATTTTCCGAAATTTATTTCAGTACCGGTGATTGGTGGTCGCATTGTTTGGCGGAACATGCCGTATTATCATCCTTTGATATACGAATACCAGATAATGCCCTTCCTGATACTCCAGATGATCGTCGACTTACCGGAGCAATTGCCTCTGATGGTATGATTGAAATTAAATTTTTTTTCCAAGTAAGGTGCCGATAGCACGAGATTTGATTATAAACGGAGAAAAATTTGTAGTCAACATTTCAAAAATTTTTCTATGATACTCTTTTTGCTAAAAATTTACACAGTCAGTAGTGGCGTATCTGTACAGAAAGTAAAAGCTGACAAATGAAATCTTTTATTTTTCGTTTTGCTATGGTGATTTATAGCTTTAAATTACTCAATGATATAAGTGAAGTGAACAAGTAAGTTCGTAGTGTTGTTACTTCTGATACCCAAATGTGCAAATACTATAACTTTAACAACATAAAAATTTGTTTTTGTTCATTTTATTAGAAATTAGATAGTGCTTTAAAATGGTTTTACAAGATTCGGCAGGCTCCAACAGATATTTAATGTTTAGGGTTTCTGGGTTCTCAAACACAATAAAATTTATAATTTTTGAATTATTTCCAAATTTCTAATGAAATAAGCCTAGTTTTTTGAAGGAGAATATGTATATGTTCTTACATGTTATGGTTTATTCAAATATGGCACAGGTCTGGCAGAAACTATCGAAGGCAAATTGTATGCTTCCAATAACAATTTGAAAGCAAAGTAAGTTTTCCTAATTTTGTAAGAAAACTTTTTCCTTTTTAATTTAATAATGCTTTAAAATCTTAGTATCAAAAAAGGAGAAATATTTTAACAGTAAGATTTGCACCAATTTTCCAAGTTCGTATTTTTACGGATTTGGTGAATGAGTTTTGATATGATTTTCGAAGGTAAAATCAAGGTAGAGTTAAATGAAGTCGTAAGTAAGTAACAACATTCTTCTAAATAAAATTTCCGTTTGATATTCTTCATTTAAATATAACATCATTTTCAATAAATTATAATCTCATTTGGTATTCTCCATTTAATTATACATTACAAACTATAATTATCGACTACCTCATTTTTATAAAAATTTTTTTAAAGTTAAAAAATTTCGACGTTTCAGCAAAGGTTCTTGGTTAGCAGTATGCGGTGGTGCTTTATATCTCCGTAGGCGTCACTCATCACGTATGTGGGTTATTGATATTATTACTCTTCATGAAATCGGAGAAATTATGTTGCATACAAGTGTCAGTTCAGGTACAACTAATTAAAATCTGCTATTTTTTGACTTTAAAAAAGGATCGTTCAGGTCTTATCGGGCAGAAGTTTTATTATAAACCAGGGCTATTTAGTTTTGGCTGCATATATGAACTAATCTAATTCTGTGCATTTTAACTTGTTGTCATCGATGAGTCGATAAAATCGTGTGTTCTGATTTACTTTCTTTATCTTTTATTTCTCGCTTTGATTGATTCTTATTTTTGCAATAACTCCAGGTACCATTTTCACCGATGGCACAATTTTCTATCAAGCCACTGTGGATGAACAATGGACGTTAACGGTAAATTCTAACAGTTGATCTTGATTTTCGTTGATTTCAATTTATATTATTTTTGAAAACGGCAAAGAATACAGTAAAGAATACATAATTGATTTCATTTCTAGGTTACCCCGCTTGATGATTCATTTACACCAGTTCAAGACTTTCGACAGAATCAAAAATTCCGCCTTGCCGAATTAAATTATGTCGCTGTCGGTGAAACATATCCGATACCACATGAATTACCTCTAATTCTTCCCAAATCTTTACAGGGTTAATTCGTATATATCCTATTTTTAAAGCTTGATAATATACACTTTTCTAAAATGACAGTGGATATGTTGATAATAAAGCATAGGAAAAATAAAGTAAATATAGAGAAGTGGAATAAGGAGGGGAATTTTTGATAAAAGTAAGGAAGTGAGCTTAGAACCAGATTAAGTGGAATAAAGAAATTTTTAGTGTTGTTCATGTTGTGATTACTTGATTACTTGAAGTATGAAGTTTACAAATACATAACCGATCAATCTAAAAAGTCCTCTTTTAGCCCAGGCATCAGATTTACAAATGAATCGAGATATGGCACTACTGCTTGCAAGGAATGGAAAAGTTTATTATGCTGGTGATGGTACGCGCTTAGGTTTGCAGGTAGATGATATAGATTCCAGACTATTGTCCAATTATTCGGAAGGAATTTTGCCCAAAAATTTCAAAACTGTATTTTTTTTTCACATCTGATTGAATTCTTGAATGTTTATACTGTTTAACATTTCAGAATGCCGGATGCAATTGGATGAAGCTAATTTTGCCAGAATCAATAGTTTCAATAGCGGTTGGCTTTGATACGGACACAATTGTATTACGTTCTGGATCCGGGCACTTATGGATTGCTGGTGTAGGACCTGATGCTGTACGACAACGTAGTCCAACCGCTGGTCGTTTTCAAAAACAGGAAGCTAGCTCGGCGACTCTTAAATTGAGGAAATTTCAAAATTTGAGCAGGTAAGAGATATTTCTAAAGATGTTTCCAAAGATCTTTGCGCTTATCTTATCAATAACAATTCTATAATAATAATGAAATCATTTAACATATTAATAATCTTCGAATGTTAGTATGATGGGACTTTCTTTGAACATTTCCCTTCATAAAAACTTCCATTTGCATTAGGATAGGCGAAGTTTTAAAATACATCCTCTAGAAAACTTGATTTTGCTTAATCATGCAGAAGTTTCTGGATTCAGAAGGCGCTGCTTGTCAATGGCAATATCAGCCGGATGCATAGCATACGTGGTGGATAATGGGAAGGCATATATTTGTGGCCGGCATACAATCCAGTGCCACCCTGAGACCGGATATATTTACGGCTTGGAAAATGTACATCTGGCGTCTATAGCTCTTGGCAAAACACATGCTGTTGCAATTACACGTCATGGCCACCTCTACACTTGGGGCTTGAATAATCTCAATCAATGCGGTAGAATCGAGGTACATTCTTAAAATGATTAGTATTCACAAAAAACCAAAATATGTCTTAGCAAATATATCAGAATGCAAATATTAGGAAATTAATTTGCACCATGAAACCGAGAAATAGATTAAAATCAAGATATTAAATCTGATGTGCAGCCTTTCGCCGTGATATGAAGCCTGATGATGGATGGGTGATTAAATGATAGCTTAACTAAATGAAAGTTATGGTAATTATTTTTCAGTCTTACATTCATCCAGAAGCTGTTACTGGAATGGGTGAAAATGAGCTGTCTAAAAAACCAAAAACCGAAGAAACAGAACAAAGTTCGTATTGTCTTCCGAACGAGCATCTTTGGGTCAAAGATTTTGCTTCTATCTGTTTGAAATGTGGCAGGTGTTCGGCACGTGGAAATCGGTGATTTTGTAATTATGCTATAATTTTGGAAAATTGAGAATATGTTTTTTCTCCTTATGAACAACGTTTTTGAAGTTGATTGACAATTGATGTTTTCGAAAATTTCTGAAGAGTTGTTCAGATGTGCACCGATAAGGACCAAACGTGATTCGAAAGGAACGCCATGCACATGCGGAGAGGGTGAAACATGTTGCTTGAGGTTTAAACTTTTTCTGTCTTGTACTGCCCTTGAGAGTTTTATCTTTATACCAAATATTTAAACTGTTCGAACATTGAGTTAATATGCTTCTTGTTATTGGAATTATATTAATGACACCTTCCAAGTGAGATTCACGATCTAACCCGAATAATCATTTTTCTCTTGGTTTTTGAACCATCATTCCTGTGGATATTTTTTCTCATTTTTCTAAAAATCAAGAGAATAATGCTGCGTATTTGTGAATGGAATGACCCGAAACAATAAGCAGAAATTAATTCTGCCTAGGTGTGGTTTATGTCGTGCATGCAGTGAACTTGCGGTTGATGCTTTCGATCGGGACATGCGAGCAACACCGATGGGAGCAGCACTTCCGCCATCTCGTCTGATTCTTCAGAGAGATAGTCCCGAAATCAAGGTGAGTTAATTAATTTGCTGTCTGGTTATTTAATGATTAGATTCGGAACTTGAAAATCAGCTTACGAATTTTTGATTGAATTCAAGTTCTATATTTATTCAATATATTTGGTATTTCTTACTCAGAATTGTTTATTTACTCTTGTCTCTTTCAAATGCAAATTGTATAAATTCAGGTTTCATCTGTATGCTGTGGCAATTATCACACTGTTGTATTAGCAGCTGATCGACAAGTCTTCACTTTTGGATCAAATTGTCATGGACAGCTGGGTGTTGGTCATGTAAGGAAATGTGTTGGTCCATACAAGGTTAGTTCTCTTTTCAGTTATTTTTGAAATCAATCTATGAGAAAGTTTGATAAATAGTTTATTGGTGATTTAAAAACAATTGGTTCAAATGAGATTGATTATAGAAGTAAGTCGACCTTCTCTTTCTTAAATTATATCCGTTCATTTCTATCTATCATCCATTCATTTCATCTATTAAATACTGAAGGAGAGTTTTTTTATACTTGACAAGTTTATTTTGCATTATACATAACTATGGATGAATACGAAAAGATATGAAGTGTTTTTAGGTGAATTTACCAGGTAAAGTGCAAGTAGTTCAAATTGCTGCTGGCTCAAATCATACAGTGTTAAGGACAGCTGATGGATCTGTTATCACATTCGGTGCCCATAGACAGGGTCAGCTTGCAAGGTAGTTTAAATTTTAGTTTGATATTGAAAAATTTTCAGATAATTTGAAAAAAAATAGTGTTTAGAGAAGGAAACGAAAAAAACTGGTTTGCGGTGCCATCATTTGTGGAAGGATATGGTCGTGGAAGTGGTACTGTTGCAACATGGGTTGGTGCATCCGGTGATACTACTCTGATTCATAGTCAAATTCGTATCTACAGCAAGGATATCATTTCAGACTGTCAGGCAAGTGTTACACTTTTCATTCACTAAGATTTCAAAAGAAAAATACCGTTAATGACTTAATGATATTCGAATATCGATTGAGAATGGAAATACATACTTTATGGTAAGATTATTAATCTGCTGTGGCAAGCTGCTGATTGCTTGGCATGTCTGCATATAATTGTAACGCGAAAGCATCATTTAGTTATCTCTATATAACGGAAATCCTTAAAATTAATATATTTAGTAGATTTTAAAAGGTTAAAAGTCAAGTCTCTACTTTATTTCTTGAATGTTTTCAATAATTTTATATTCTTAAACGTGGAAACAGAAGTAAGCACACCTACACGCATATAAAACATAATATATACATGTAACATTTAATAAAGTTATCCTTTTCTGGATTTCATTGGTTTCTGTCGTCCACTTTAAATAATTCAACTTCTTCCTTCCACTTGCAGGTAGTTGCAGATAATGAAACGATAGTGATATTTCCGAATCAGGTCGGGAAAAATTATATGGCAATACGACGTAAATTCAATACCTTTTACCAATATTCAATGGGTACTGAAGGTCTTTATACTAAGTATGCTAATTTTTTTTAATACTACCGTTCTCTTACCTTTTTTTATTATAGAGTTCTGATCTGGTTATCTATATATCTTTTGTGAACTATTTAGTTTATCATGACTTAACTAGCACGTATGTTATCAACCACCTGTCCGATTTAGATGAGTAGCTTATTCAAAATATGCATCATATGTTTTTTCTGAATTATTTAACACATATTTGTCTAGTCATTATCAGTTTCAATTTCGATTTGTCGTTCTTAAATAATGCAGATAGTAAGGAAATTTACAGTTGGTGCTTGGAATCGAAGTATAATTTATTGTGGGGATTTAATGCCGCGGAAATGCGTATCAGATCGATCACTGATTGTGTTCCAATCTCTGGTAAAAAATTCGAATCAAATGCAATCTTTGACGAAACCCTGGAAGAGATCGTCAAAGAAATTAGATTTCTTCGCGCGCCCGAATTTATGATTCCGATATCGAACGAGACAAGTTTACCTATCAAACAAGTTGCCATGAATCTTTTTGGAATCGCGTATGCTACAACGATACTGGAAAGCAAACGCTCATTTGCACAGAAGGTTCGCAACAAAAACAAATTTAAATTTGAAGAAGTAGAATTTATACTGATTCAGCTCAAGAAACATAGCTCGTGATATTCCTGAATGGCGGTTTTTGAAATTTTAGGACAATCAGCTTATTACGGATCCGAAAGCATCAAATTTGTTTGGTGCCGTAAATGGACGAAGCTTATCATGTGGCTATCAACGTATCAATCGTTTTAATGGGTATGGAGGTGGTTGGGGATATTCAGCTCATTCTGTGGAAGCAGTACAGTTTCGTACTTCACGTGATATTCGGTTTTTCGGCGTTGGCTTATACGGCGGACGTGGCGAGTATATTGCTAAGTATATCTTTAAATAATGATTTTTACTAAAACATTCAAAAAATTTTTCTTCTTGAGAGGAAATTGTTGAGTGTTTAATTATTGTGATTCCTTAATGGCTTATTATGAAAGAATTAATTTTCTTTGTTTCTCGAATCTTACCACAGTTACCGAATAGTACGAAAATACAAAAATATTAAGCAATCAAACAGATTAAAATGGCCATAAAGCATTCTTTGTAGGTTAAAACTTTATCGCCTTTGTCCACCGGACTACGACGAGCAGAACGTTGAGCTACTCAGTGAATCTGATGAAATGCTTTACGAATGTGCTGCACATGAGAAAGCACAGTTATTATTCCCACGTTCCATATTAATCAAATCTAACTTGTGGCACGTTATCTGTGCACAAATTAAGTATGTTTATAAGAAAGGAGTATTTTTGAAGTCATTAAAAACAATTTGTAATCCTTTCTGAGAATGGATATATGAATTGATGCAACTGTTCGGAGCGTGTCACTAATTATCAAATGGGGGCATTTAACATCAACTGTCATTCGAAACCAATTTGATAGATTCGGAAATAGTATTTTAACTTATATCAGTTTATTTGAGATTTTGAGCTATTTGTATGTTGCTGTTATAATTATTAATATTCTTTTATTCATCGCATGATGTTAATCACTTTTTTATTTTAATACAAATCGAACCATTTTTGCATCCTGTTATATCAAATTTACTGCTACAATTCAGATCTTATGAAAATGATATTAATCATTTGTAAATCCATATTTTTTGAGTGGTCCAAGTTCTGATTGCGGCTCCAATGGGGAATCAAATGTTACTGGTGATGGTGGAGTACAATTCTTTTTCCGCAATTCACGTATGTCCAACAATGGAACCGATATTAATGTTGGCCAAATTCCGGAATTTTTATATGTTTCGGAGACATCCGATGGACAATTACCTAATTTTGATGCAAAGGATAAAACTCTAGATGTGTATGTTTTTTATGTAAATTCGAAATGATTTATAATTAATAGTTTTTTTAGTATTTCACTCTGAAACTTGAAAATTTGTAGAATTTTAGTTGGTTGATATTATCACTGAGTCATGGAACAAACTGGCTATTTACTGAAAAACTTTTTTCATATGTGACGTTATATTTTTATAGTCTCCGGAAGCTTTATGATTTACTCATTTGAATATTGGCAGTATAAATTGCTTTACATTACTAAATCCTAATTAGCAAAAAAAAGATTATTGCTTGTTTAACAATATTTATCACTATTTAATCATTTCTGCTATCATGTGCAATTAAATTATCAGTTCATGAATAAATTATAGCTCTTCGGTAGGAGCGAAGTATATAAATCCTTTTGTTTTTTAGCTCCTATAATTGTATTTCGTGCGCCATAAGTTCACATCATCTGTTAACGGTTTCAACAATTACAATTGAATCATTGTTTCGTTTACTTGATTGGTCTATTGAGAAGGCCTTGATGAAAATATTTAATGAAGATAAGACATGGTTGCAAGAATGCAATGTGGTTGTTGTCATCTTGTCATTAAGATTTTTACGGTTAGTTTTATTCATACAATTTATTTTCATGAATTACTTATTATCAAGCCAAATATGTTTTCATATTGAAATCTCCAGAAATAAAATTTCAATTTTCGTAGAATATTTTAAATTTTTTATATGCGGTATTTTCAGTATAAATTTACGCACATTGCAATTTATGCAGTTTATAATTCTATGGCCCTGGACATTTCACCTAAGAGTAATGTCGATTTCAGATTTTATATTTGTTCACTTTACTTTTCGCCTGAGGATGGAAAACGGATGAATAAAAAAGAGCCGTCTGATAGTATTGCTGAACAAATGGTGCGATTTGCATCTATAATTGGTTCAATTTTTGAAATTGCAAATGACCAGCATGGTGATGTAAGTATTTTTAATTGACTTTTTCATCAATTGTTTTTGAATTTAGTTCCTCTAAATACATCATTTTACTTTATCCAATAAAAGTCTGGACGAAACGACCCTTACTTATGTTATGACCTATTATTATCGAATAATTGAAACTGTGCTGCGGAATCGGATATTAAAGTACTTATAATTTAGTGTGTTGCTAATTTTATTTTAAATGCTTTTAGTTTCAAATACTTCAAAATGTCTCACCGTAGCTTTAGCCGGGAAAAGTGAGAAGAGATTTTGATTGATATTCATGTGTTAGTTGTAATATTTATTGGTTTTTAATCGTGAAATCTTGGCATCGAAATTATTATTCGGGTTCGGATATCATACTATTATTCAGAATACAGCTTGTTCAATATTACTGGAAGAAGCAGTTAATTGTGCGGTACAATGTTCACATGTTTTATATCCCAGTTCAGCAATTTTTCTGGATCGACTTTCTTTTTTGATATCAACACCAAATCGTGAATGGTCATTAATTGCATTGTTAACTATGCTATCTAATCAGAAATATGTAAGGAATATTTCATTGTTTTTTATGTATTCAAAAATTCATTAAAATTTTGTTTGTTGAAAACTTCGAAAGATTTAAATAATACGGAAAAAATGGGAATTAACTTTGGTGCATTGGGAAACAATAGAAGGATTATTATTACATGTGATCACGAGCATAGATTTATTGTTGATTGTTTTTTCGTGTCCGAAGGGATGGACTAAGTGAGCATATAGTAGAAGATATTACCGTTCAGAGAAGTGGAAGCTATGATAATGAAGGATTCATTTCAAAGTTGTTGTGTTTTAGGTCTTACCAACTTTACTTGGTTCTGAACGTAACTTCATGCAATTTCCAATCTTGCTTGCCAAAATGAACGAACAGTTTGGTAAAAAAAGAATATCTGGAAACCAATGTGCTCTTGTTTCTATACAAAATATATTTCGGTTTCTCTTTGAAGTGGCTTTTACATCGACGACGTTGGTTCAGGTAAATATTGTTGATTTTAAGCTAAAATTCGAAAATATATTCTTGAAAATCTAAGCTACTAAAAAATTTCAGGTACCAATTAATTATTTCAAGATAGCTCTACTTACTTTATGTCTTATTTGTGCTTTTTTTTAGAATGAAAGCAAAATACGGCTTAGAACTGCTGCACATTCACTAATTACTGCAATTGCACGAGAATTGGTAACATTTAAAGATGCTGTTGGTGATGGCCCACCTATCCTGCAAACACCAAATAGGTCTGTTTCTTACACTTCTGCAACTTAATTTAAGTTTCCTTGTTTAATACGTGAATATCCTCAGTGGTACAGGATTTTAATATAAGCTTGTTATCTCTATGTAACACCTACCACGTCTTTGTGCTTACGTCATTATGAATTTCCAAAAATTGGGCTTGAACAGCTGCTTTTAATGATGCTTATTGGCTAATATGCAATAATGACATGGCATTATTTATAGCACTGTAACAGAATATTTCGAACTTTTGCGTCAAAGTATCAGACATATCTGCCTATTTTCGCCAGTTCTTTTGCTCGTTTATAGACAGCTGATTGGTTTGATAACCAATTAGTATTTCAATATTATACGTAGACGAATTTTTCAATCAAATATTATTGATATTTTGAAAATTTTGATCTCTATTTTAGATTTCGAAATACTGCAGCACACGCAAGTTGGGACGTAAGTAGTGGTGCATGCGATGCAATTGCATTAAGTGTTGATATAACCGGTATTACTTTACATGGAGTTGGTGTATACTGTGCTCATCATGATCAGGAACAAGGTTTTGTATGTGAGGTAAATCTGAACTTTTTCGTTTCAAGTTACTTGTGATTTCCGATAATTTTCACTACATGTTATAATGTTTTCTGCCTACATCATATATCATAGTTTTCATAAATATGGCAAGTTTTAGATACTGTTTAATGGAGGTGATGCAGCTCATGAACAATGGAATGTACTGGAAAAGGTTGTTGGAACATTAGGAAATAAATTTGAGCCATGTCAGCGAGAAGTTACTTTGCTACGATTAACCAAAGCTATTAAACTCCAACCTGGTTGCACCTATGCTATCAGATTACAAATTAATGGTGGTAAAACATTTTGTGGTGAAGGTTGGAAATCGAACTTTGCACTTTCATACGTTTTTTACTTATTCTAGCGTATTTTTCAATATTTCAGGAATTTTTTTTTTTGCATTTTACCTCGCTTTTTATTAACTCAGAACAGATAGAATAATGAGCCTCAAAAACGAGCAAAAAATTCATTTGACGGTAGAGATGTCGGATTTTCTCAGACCGTTACCTACTTTCAAATTTCAACTCTCTGCTGAAAATTTTATCGACTATAAGGCTTGATTATTTTTCCGATTCCGGAGCATAGCAATTTTTTTCGAAAGAAATGTCTGATACGAAAAAGGATTCCAAATTACCTACTTTTAAATTTCAACTCTCTACTGAGATTTTTTAAAATCTTTTTTAGGCGGCACTGGAACTGTTCGATTATGTAACGGGAGCCGGATGCATTTTGAATCGTGCAGTTTAAGTCTAAATGGAACTTCTCTGTCTCGTGGCCAAATACCATTCGTTCTATATTCCGTACAGGATGATGAAAGCGGTGTTATTCAGCAGTTGGCTAATTCTGAACAGGTGTTTGTTATCTTTCATTTCACTTCAGACTTTACATAAATCATGGCTTCTGTCCCTGCTTTGAAAAAAAATTGGTTTTCTTCATTTCTCAATGAAAATTTGAAAATTCCTCTATAAATTTCTGACTCTAAAAGCCCTGAAATATCAGGAATCTTTCTTAAGGAAAGGCTAAAAGTGAATATCTGGTTTGAGGAAGAAAATATTATAGCATTGAGCACTTGGCATGCCTAAGTCTAGAAAGCAATATAACATTGAGTAACTGATAAGAAAGAAGCTTAATAATGTAACATTTCTTGGTTCCAAAATTTTTGTTAGAGATTCGTTCTAATAAAACGTATAAATATGGCTATTATCTCTTGTCTTTCATTCTTCAATAACGAAGATCAAGCTCTCTGCAATTTATTAGAACACTGCTTTTCATTTTTGGTGGTTTTTTGATGCTTGACTAGATGCACCTGATTTTTCAGAGCATAAAAAAAATTTGCCTTAACTTATATATTTATTATTTTTTAGTTGGCTAATTGGTTCTTGCTGCTAATTCGAATGCTATCATCCAAAATGTCGGATCTAATTGCAGCTGGAAATTTCTTATTTCAAGAGCAATCTTTTTTCTCAAATATTGCAGGCTCGTTCGTTGACTATCACCATTATGTCATCACTTATAAAAACAATTCGAAATTTATTCTTCTACTCTGTCTGTTATCCATTGTGATGGTAGATAGGCGAGGAAGAATAATTTTTGAATATATTCATTGGTTATGGAAGTTATTAAAGCATATGCACTCTGCATAAGTTAAAATAACTAGAATATATAATTTTTTAATTTATGCAAACGTCTCTTGAATGATATGAAAATGTGATAATGCTGTGATTACTAAAATGTGATAATATCTGTGGTGGTGTCAATAGCGATGATAAATTCTTTTGAAGGTTATATTATGGTTTTTTTGGAAGCGAATCCGCAACGTGCATTGGATGTAGTTGCAGTATTGGATGACCTACTGCCTATGGTTTCATCAGCAAACGGCGAACGACTTGCTGAGGATCGAGAACGTGCACTTGCGAGGTATTAATTATTTCAGCAAGTAATAATGAATACAGTGAACTATATGGCATTAATTAAAAAATCGTATAGTTATACGATTATTTTTTTTTTAGGTCGACACAGCAGAACGGCGCTTATTCCCGTAATTTACAAACAATTGTTGAGTCACCACATCCATATCCATCTTGTGGCATCCATTCGCAGGTATTCAGTTTGATAAATGAATTAAACTTATACAATGATTACACTTCAACGTTTCAATCAAGGGCGGAACGTGGACGTATTGCGCTTTTACGTTTAGTGCTTGAATAGTTCTCGTGACGTGTGATTTCAACCCAGAATATAATTGTTCCACTATCATCATCAACGGAATACATAAAATTATAAATTTTTTCCTTTTATTATTTGAAATATATTCTATCAAGCAGCAATATATGCAAACAAAATTAAATTAAATTAATTGAACAAACTAAAAAGTTCAGATAAAAAACATCGATTAAATTAATTGTGCATTCTTGGTGAATCCAACACTCATTAGATGCCATAAAAAGCGAAGTTCAATCCTACTGAAGGCATGATTAATTCCAATTAATGCTGGAATTAGAGTTTTCGTTTTCAAATTTGAACTCGTCATTCTTTCTTCATTGAGTGATGAATTTTTCTAATAGGTTGTCGACTTTGGAAAAGAAGTCCAGTTCATGACGGTGCAGTTTAGTGAAGAATGCTGTACTGGTCAAGCAGATGATATTTTATGGATTTATGCCAAAGTTGGTACCGAATGTTATATACCTATTGGAAGGTCACTTTTTCTCTTTTATTTTAGGAAAAATTCACTTGAGGAAAAAATTTTATTAAATAGATCAATTTCCGGCTTTTTTTAGATACTGCGGTGATCGTAACTGGCCTGATCGCATACTTTTGATTCCGGGTTGCAATTTATGGTTCATACTAGAATCGGCATCTTACTCAACAGACAAGGCCGTTGAACAGGTTGGTTGGTACCACCTTTGAGAATTTTCTGTTAACTTATTTTGAATGTCAAGATTTTTAAGGATAAAATGCTGGTATAATCGAGTTTTTCAGATCTACGGTTATCGATGTACAGTTACAGGATATCGGTATTCGGAAAAAGATTCTGGCATGATTCTGGAAGAAGAGTTGACTTGGATTTGTGCAAGTGCCTGCCGATTACTTGTGCAGGTGCAATTTGTCTTTTCGTTTTTCCAATTATAATAACTTTAAGTTTTTGTTTAAGCACTTTCAATATCTTTTAAAAATTTATCGTTATAGTTTGGCTGAATAATAAAAGTTTTCGTACAAGAGAAGAGATAGAAAACATATGCATTCCACTTTCTGCCATCTTTCCAGATTCCATCGGTCAAAACAGTGGTAGCAGCAGTAACGATGATCGAGGATGAAATTGACGATATTGTCCGTAAACACGGTACGCTGCTTCGGAAGGGATTAAATCTATCCCATGTCCCAACAGTCAATGAAGTTCTGAAACGTAGTTTACCAAGTCCTTCGCAAACTTCAGGTAAAGTTAGGAATGAGATTTTTGTCAATTTGAAACAAAAGAAAGTTTCAATTTCTCTTCGTTTGAGTTGAGGTTCAGTTACAACAGTAGATGTCAGTTTCAAAATAATTTCCCTCTTAAAATATAAGAATATTCTATTTCTACTCTTCCACAATTTAATTTTTTTTCAAAAGACCAAGTAAGTCTACAGGATTCGACTTGGTGCAAATCATTATTTATTTAGAATTTTTTATTTAGAATATGAGATTTTATCAAATCTATAAAGCAGATTCTTTTTAAGATCTAAAATTCTTAAAAGAATTTATTGCTGCTTCTACAAGTACTCTCGCTGGTTTCTTGGCACGTTGGATGATGAATGAACCAGTAGTGGATCTTCATTCCAGTCAGTTGCAAATGTCTGATGAAGAGACACGGCTTAGAATTCCCACCCAGGTAATTGCGAAAGAAAAGTTACGTATCCTATAAGGATAAGTAGAGATACTTTCCTCTGGATAGTATTTATATCATGGTTTACCTGGATATGGGAACATTAGCTGGAATCAATAATGAAATTAATGGATTAGAAGATTAATGGTGGCTGTTGCCTTCCTCCTTTAATGGGTTTTCATTATTTTTCAGAGATGAGAAAATATTGTGAGTTATCATCATGATATGAACTGTTTTTCCAGATAAAACTCATCCCTCGAGACCAGTACGGTCGCCTTGCAATATGCCCAAACATGAAGGTCGAAATCACGGTTCGTATTGGTATGGCAGCAGAAAATAGTAATTCAAATCCTTGTCCAGCTGTCACTCGTAATCCGTCAGTCATAAGTCTTCCTCCGCCACAATCCATCAAGGTTAATTCAGTTTATAGTTCGAAAATGTTTGCTTTTATGGTGTGAAAGTTTTATTTAGGAGGTGAAAGGTAAATAAAGTGACTAATTTATGCTGGTTTATTTTCCCCAATCCTTTTGATAAATTCTAAAAATTAAAATAAAATTGATAACTTAAATTGAACTTCTACGATGATTAAATTAAATTTTCAAGGAGCCATATCGCCCAGTTTACGTTAACAAAACACGATATGTTTCTATTACGGCGATGACTGCTTACCAGCATTATTGCTTCGAGGAATTACGCCTTGGATGTTACAAAGATACATTAATGAAGGAGCAGCTTATTGTAAACCAACAGACTGATGGCAGGTTTGCCTTTCCTTGATTTCCTATCAGAAATTAAGCTTTTGATTGATTTTCAGAATGAAAGAAATATTTAATTTGGTCCGTCTAAAGTAGAATTAGTATTTAACTCTAAGAAAGCTGTATGTAGGAGCGATATATTTAGATTGGATATATTTAGATTTTTTACTTACTCTTCTTTATGATTAAATCTTTAATAATTTCAAGCATTTTTTTATTCAGTTTTTTGGCCAATTGGATACCCAAACATGGAGGCACATATCGAATCGAATGCCGTTTGGATGGATTTCAATTGGCTCAGAGCTATTTGGTTGAGGTAATTTCAAAAAACTGTGTTACACGGATTTCAGAGCATATTTTATATTAGCTTTCAATACAAGATATTGCTTGAAACAATTATTCTATTACCTTTTGCTTGGAAAGTTATTCTATTACAATTATTTTTAGAGAGAGCTTATGGTATAATTTTCAAATTTTTCATTCTGCATTTATGATTTTTTATAGGTTCGTGATAGCAATATGTTTGGTGGTTCAGTGTCACCAAAAGAAGGCAGTCAAAATCGTTTGAGTCGAGGAGTGGCCCATTTTAACAGGTTTGACTTGAATCTTGCTGTCAAATGTGGGAGATCAGGAGCAGTGAAAATATTGGGAATATTTAAGAATGAAGTTATTTTCAGGACACGTTTCGCTTTTTGTGATCAAAAGCTAATGACAAAAGGTGTACGAATCCGTGCTTCACCAGCGCTGAATTCATCACAAATTGGTATCATACCTCGTGGTATCACTGTTTCTTATATTGAAGAAATAAAAAACATGGATGGTGTTTGGTTACGGCTTACCGATGAAGCATGTTCAATATATTGTGATACGCAATTACCTTCGCAGGTATGAGTCCTCGAAGAAAATTTGTCATTGTCAGAGTGAGAGACAGATGACATAACCGATTCTGTGCTGGTGATTTCCCAGTGAATCCTCGAAATTTACAGACTTGTATTGATTGACAGCTGTTAAATTGAATTTAATGCAGAGTAATTTTTAATGAATGTTTGCTTATTTATGGTGGAGGTGTTTAAAAAATTTCAATTGATATTTATGGCGTTATCCCTACCTTTGTGATTAAAATGCTGTAGATATTTATGGTTCAGTTAATTTTGTTAAGAACAGCTTCGTGTAGCATTTGTGAGAAATGAGTTTATTTTGGATTAATTAAAGTGAAACTGAATTTTTTTAGCTTTATGTAATAATTATTTTCAGGGTTGGTGCTTGCAATATAGCAATCATCTAGGACGGTCATTCTTATTGCTACAGTCAGACTCTGCAGAAGGTCTCATTTTTGGTTCCAGTTTACTGAGTACTACCATTCAATTACCGCAAAATACAAAAGAAGCCAATGAGCAGCAGTATTTTGAGCAATCATTGCAATTGGATGTTGAGGAGGTAGTTTAATTTTTCTGAACGTGCAATATAAACAGACTTCTATGTTTTTATTCATTTTGAAAATTAGAATTACCAAGAGTACTGTAAGTTGATTCGTAATAGAGAGAATTAAAGCGTAGTATGCAAACAGTGAAGCTTTTCTTTTTTTTGAACAGGTCATGTTAGATTAGCTGAGTTCTTTTTTGTCTGTCATTCAAGATTTTTTTTTCTAAAGGAATAGAATCACGTTACTATGTTAGTAGAATGATTTCGGAGTTAAAAACCGATTGGCTTGCGCTTCTTATAGATATACACAGCATGCGGATCATTTCCAATATCGATTTATAATTATCCATCAGTGGATGCCGTTTCTGGTGATGTTATTAACAATACAGAAACCGATGAAATAAGGTCATCCGGTTGGCTTCACAATAAGCAAGGAATATGGATACGATTATCGGGCTTCGATCAAAAATATGCTTTTGTACAGGCAAGAGACTGTCCTTAGACTGTTTCATCGATCAGTTTTTATTTGAGAATTTCTGAATCATTTTGCTTTTTTTGGTTTTATTTTGTTGAAATCATGAAAATTTTTAAACATTCTTAAACGCTTCATTATACTACGGGTTAAATTTACACCTTTGTTTATCTTAAATCTAGGTAATGGAAATGGAAATTTCGTTAAATTGAAGTTTTGAATTTGAATTTTTGCAGTAATTAAGATTAAGTTATTGGAATTCAAGTTCTGTTTTTATTAAATCATAATTGCTGAATAAATTCATGGAAAATTTATAGGATTTAACTGGTAATCGATATTTACAAAAAGTAAGTGCCACTACGCAACGCTGCACTAATGGCAATGGTGAAGGTTCGCCGGCAGGGCAGAAACCAGTAGCACAAATTTATCCGCGATCAAGGTTGTATTAAATTAACTAAAAAACATCAAAGTTAATAATCTTAAAAGAAAAAAGTTATTGTCGTTATTAGTTTATAACTTATTTGAACTTAAGAAATAAATTTCTGATTCGATTTTAGGAACGAGCAACCTGTACAAGCGCTGAAACCTTCAATTGTTGACTGTTGCCGAAACGTATTCGCTGCATTTCTGTGGCATGAAAAATTAGTGAAGGATGCGATGGTGTGTAGTACCTACCTTAAATTTCACCCGGAATTACATTCCGTAAGTCCGTTCTTACATAAAACGAGACATTTTATTTTAAAAGCTAACAGCTTTAATTATATAGCATATTGAAGAAATTAATGCATTTTCATAGATGAGAAAGAATGCAGGAGTTAAGATAGGAATCAAATAAAGTTTTTGGATTTATCAGTTCGGTTTCTTAGAAACTGCGAATAAGTAGGGAAATTTCTTCGTCCTAACCTTTTATTCCAGATTTATTTCATTTCAGATAACTTACGGTCAAAATCGAATGGAACTAATCATGGCCACACCATTGCATTCAATTTTCAGTATCTGGCAAGAAATTAATACGGCAGTGCAAGCTAGCATTGAACAGCGCTCAGTATTTCTGCGTCCAATAACCGCACGACAATTTAATGCGAACCCTATAAATGCAAGTATTGGTACTTCTCGGCAGGTTTGTTTTTCTTGCGCTTTAATTCTCTGCTTCTTTTATCATTTCTTTAAACTTGAAAATTATTGTTATTGATTTTCTAATTATATTTTTTTCCATTTATCAGTTAAGAGAAAGGCATATTTGAGAATTTCAAAAAATTATCAGTGGTATCATGAAAAAAAAATAAAGGATTATTGTCAAGGAGTCATCGTCAAATCAACGAAAGGATTTATGTGAGCTTTGTGAAGAGTGGCACATTGCACCAGTGACCACCCATATGCGTACAGCACATCCCGGATGTGGCAAATATTCCGGTGGTCAAGGTTATAACAGTTCTGGCAAATATACAAGTGGCTGGTCAGGAAACTGTGGTGACGGTGGACGACCAAGTGCTGTTTGGTAAGCCTTTTTTTCAATTTATCCATTTAATCTTTTAAAATTTTCCTTTAGATTTTAGAAAATTACTGTATTGAAGGTATTTGATGTGTGCCACATGCCGATCAAAATATTTGATACAGACTCCATCCGGATATCAGCAGGTAATATATATACATTTCTGATCACTTTTCTGGTTTTAAAATTAAATTTATTGAAAAGGAGGAAGGTATTATTCAAGGATATCTGGTTTAAATTGCTCAAATCTTCGGCACTTTGATGCCGCATTGTTTTCTGCAATTTTCCATATTCATACTGTCTTCTTAGAAATCGAAGTTTTTGAAAGATTTCTCATTGCAAAAAGTGGAGCGCTTTCTTTCTCATAAAATTACTCTGCAAAACTTACATCTCGTCGATTTTTATTCCACTTACTTTCTAATTTGAAGAATTATTTAAGCTTGCTAAATTCATTATAACTTTTGAATGACGACTTCGAAAAGTCGCCATTCAAAAGTTATAATGAATTTAAAAGCTATAATGAATTTTTTGAAAAGTCGTCATTCAAAACTTGTAATGAATTTAGCAAGCTCAAATAATTCTTCAGTTCAAATTTTCAAAGTCGTCTACTCTAGGAGCGAAACCGTCGATGGGATGAATTTTGCGCCTCCTCAGCTGCCGCAGAAATGTCTCCAGAAGCAATAATCAAACAAAACGCAATGTTTTTGTTGGAGCTGAATGCGTGTATGGAAGGTGATAGCAAGGATACGTCAACAGCAACATCAGGATGGACTATAAATCTTTTCCCACAAGCATCCATCGTAACACCAACAACAACTTCTGCACATGTACAAGCGGGTGTCGGAGTAGTGTCTCAACCGGTTTGTATTGAAAATCTTTAGCATTGCATGAGTTATGAAAACCAACAACGTGGTGCATATATTTACTCCAGGATTTTCTGTCACCTGATTTCATATCATTTATTTCCAGTAAGGATTCTAAGATAGCAATGAAACACGGAATACATCGCATATTCAATCCTGACATCAAACCTGAAAATTCATATTTTACTTTTAAGTAATTATCCTAGTAGTTAAGTGTTCAGATATGTAAATATGAATAAAAATAGTCGCTGTTAACTGATTTTGTTTAAATTTTTGAAATCTTGACGTCTAGATAGGAATAAAGAACGGGTGGAAATTAGTGTACTTGGTAATTTGCATGAATTAATGGAAATTCATTTCCTGAATCCTTCAGAATTTTTTATTTAATTTGGATGACATATGTTCTTCTAATGAAAATGATTTACAGCAATTATCAAATGAACGTGAAAATTTTTATCATGTACGAAAATTGTCATTTGCTAGTGATCCAGGACCGAAACGTGTTGGCATTGGAACTCATCTCGCTCTTTCAAATTGCAATCCGTTGTATTCGGAAAGACGGGTGAATTGCACTAATATTTAAAAGAATTAAAGAGGATTTTTTTGTCTATGGGTATTCGGAAGAAATTCATTTGAATGAAGTAGGGCTACTAACAAATATTTTGTTTTTGAATCAGATTTCAAGAAATAATTAATCTGGATAATTTTAGCTTGGTTCATCGCCGCTAACAAATGCTTTCAACCGAAGTGAATTGGTTAATTCAATACGTCGCAAGATGTTAGAGGGATACGAAAAACGGCAGTCAGCTGAAGTAATTTTATTTATACAATGATATTCAGTGCATTTTTAATAAGTTTAATCAGTTTTTTTGGTTTCTTGTTTCGAAATTTAGTTTATTTTTCGAAACTCTTGGAGGATTCAAGTAAATTAAAATCTCCATTTTTCTTGCAGATTGTTCGTAGTCCATCTGTAGCATTGAAGTCACTACTGGTACTGGTTGAACAGAACAACATTTCGGGCGGCCGTAATTTTTCAAGTATTTTTATTTAAAACTTGCCATTAATAAAAATTAGCGAACTTTGAACGTTAATCCTGATTTTAATTGCTATAACAGAGCAAGACTGTTTGTTGTTATGTAATCATTACGGATGCGAAATTTTTGGAGATATAATATCATAGATTTATTAATAGGTGTTAAAATGATATTGAAAGTAAAAGGATGAAAAAAGAAGGCAATTGCTGAAAAAAGCAGCTAATATAGACTTCATTATCAAATTTCGAATGGATATTTAAATGTTAATCAATATTTTCTGTTTCAAATATGTCATATTTTAGCAAATTTAAACTTATCGCTTCGTCGACCAGTACTTGCTTTTGTCATGGAACGACATAATTTGGCTCGTATACGAGAGGCAATGGCAACTGCTGTAGCTCGCGCTACATTCTTCGCACACTCATTTCGTGTTTGGAACTGGCTTCTGAAATTGGTTTCAACCGAATCCAGGTGAGTTCTGAAGAATTGAGATTATGATTTTTTTCAGAATTTTAGAATCTTAGAATTATTGAAAACTGAGGAATTATTCTTGTTCGATCTTCATAACATAGCTGAAGTAAATTATGAATAAAGCAGATAAAAATTACAAATACGAGTTGTGCTGTCTAGTTCTTCATTAGTCATGGAAACTGCATAAAATTCTAAGACATAACTTATAACATATTGATAATATACAGAAAATTTCAAAAAAATTGTTGTAGAAAATTTCAAAAAATTGTTGTAGCTTACTGAACAGACAAAACATGGATTTTTTAAAGAATTATATTACTATATCTTTTTTTCAGTGTTGCGGATATTCTTTGGCAATATTTGACAGCAATGAACTCCTACGTACCCTTATGTCGATGGTGTAAAAATAATTTACGTTTAGCAACAAATTTACGTCTTTTACCACATCCATGGCGTGTTTGCTATTTGGCTGGCCCAATTGCCAATAAAATGGTTCATCAGCTGCATTCTTTTTTGCATACTGTTGCGGTTATTATACAATCAAGTGGTGTAGAAACAAACCTACGTTGTTTATGTTTCCGGGTTTGGACCTTCCAGTTAACCGTTCATGAACAGGTTCATCTAACTTTGAAAATTTTACTAAAAATTTTCCAATATCTTTGAACTTTTGTCATTAAGTTCGTATTAGTGTAATGTAAATCTAAACAGATGTTTCCGTTTTTGATGATACTTTTCAAATATCTTTTATAAGTGTGGCATCACAGAATTCATCACAATTTATGAAGTCCATCAAATTCATATTTTTATGTATCTTTCATAGGAAGACTAAATTGTAGGATTTGCTTTCTCTAATGTGCGACGTGTTAGCAAGTGTTGGTAACATTCTCGCAGATTCATCCTCAGATCATTCGTGGAGTCTGGACGATAGTGAACGAAAAATAGACCATCGTTCATCTCATGAAGAAAAACCGCTGTTTCCTAGAAAGCGTGAGATTCAACGTTTATAATGAAAAATTTTACAAAATTTTCGAGATATTTCGATTTGTAGATTGCTGAACACTGCGGAACAGTTTTTCTTAATTCATAAATTTTGCTAGAGTTTACTGACCATTAAGCCTTTCTTGCAATATGTTCTGATAGTAGTTTGGATAGACCGCCAAATTGTTTTTCAGCGCAAGTAGATGTGAAACAAATGGAAGATATTACTGGTATTTTGCGTTATGAAGCATCAAGCCATCAAGCAATGATTGGATGTTTAACTGATGGGAACAGCGAAACCTTTTGGGAAACCAGTGAAGAGGTCAAATTAAAATTAAATACCAGAAAACATTATAGACAAGGGTTTTTAAGAAATTGTTGTTTTTGTTAAACAGTTTTGCCTTCAATAGGATAATCAGCAATGTTGGGCCCTGTTTGGTTGATGTCCAAATTGGCCACCTAAGGAGTAGATGACTGAGGAAATTGCTCAACAAAATTATAGTAATCGGTATGGTCTCCATATGGCCCTTCATCTTGATAGTTACCTAAGCTCATATAGCTTTAATGCATCGGACCAGCCACTATCTTCTTTTTAAATTTTAAAATGCATTGAAATGCGGATTAGTCCAATGCATTAAACGGAAAAATGAGTGCTCATGATAAAAGGGGATGTTTACTAATTCCCTCCTTTTTGTTAATTTACTACAAATAAGTTAACAAAAAACTTTATATTTTTTTAGTAAGGAATTGGAAGTAGTGATTACACATTATGAGTCTGTCAAAAAATAATGATACTATTAACGGAGCGTAAAATAGCTGCTGTTGCAGGTTCATGAAAAGTCTTTTCATCTACCTGCAGTTCTCTCACCAAATTTCGTCTTTTTGATTTGAAATTTTTAAGTCATTTCCATGTACTTTGATAAAATTCAAATTTATAGAACTTTTCAGGATAAAAATCGACCACGCTATATAACAGTACATTGCGATATTCGAAGCTATAAGGCAACATTGCTCACTGTATATGTGGACAATATTCGTGATGAGGGCTATCGAACATGTTCCGTTACAGTTGTTAGTGCGGAAAGCGATGGGCGACGTCGAAAAATTCATTCTGAATGTCTTGATCATGTACGTATATCCGTATTTATGCATTTTCATAAATGTTCTATCTTCAGTTAATTTTGCATAATAGAAATTTTTTGAAGACAAATGCTGTCTTTTATAATAATTGATGTCTTGGGAAAAAAAATCATTCACATTGACTTAAGCATGTTAGATGTTAATTTTCTGCTCATAAGCTTTTTCGCATTTCCATTTTGATTAATGAGACGAAATATAATATCATTTTTAGCAATTTATTGGCTGGATCAAATGCTGTGTTGTTGGATTAAATTGTATACAAGTGATATTTCGTGGTAACGATCCCTCCTTACGTATACGTCAGGTTAGCAATAAAATTCCATCCAATTTCTAGTACACTAACGTCATTTTGAGTAACGATAGGAGAACTTTTTTCTCACCAACATCGTCTCTCAGTCATTGGACAAGAATGTTATCACGTAATGCAAACATTATTTATGCTGTGAAGAAAGATTACATTACTTCTTCAAATTCCTAAGAGAATTTTAAAATTTCAGCTTCGAGTTTTTGGTACTAGCACTGTATTGGATGTCTTTAATGCTCAGTCATTTGCCAATCGAAGCCAATTGAAACCTTCACCGTCACATCAGCTGTTGTTCAATGCTAACCAGGATGATGCATTTGCAGTTTTCCAAGCTATTGCTGCTCAGGTCAGCCGATTACTTAATAATATAGTTCATAAATCTTAAGCCTAACTTAGGAAATAAATTGAAAACTCTAGACAGTGGATAGTGTTGTGTTCCTCCAACTGTCGCAGTTTAGAATTGAGAAAAATCTTTTGTCGTTCATCCCAAAAATTTTGATTAAATCGTTGTATTTCAACCATTCAGAAAAGGGCGAAGAGATTAAATCCATCTTCAGGCATTCAGTGATGAATTTTCACAAGAAGAGAATGGCACGTTACGACAGCAAGTGCTTGATCTGTTATTTAGTCGTATACAATTACAACCGCTTCAAGCATTTGTTTGTTCCCATATGATCAGTGCTTTGGAAAGGTTTCATTTTTCGCAGGGATCCTAAATTCTTATTTCGAGTCATTAATAATAACCGTTTAATGAAAAGGAAGCAATTTTCAAGTTAAAAAAGGGTTCCATAATTTTTATGAACAATTCTTATCCTTATCCCATAAGAATAATTCTCATCTCATAAGAATTATGGGATCCCTTTTTTGAAGTTGAAAATTGCTGCTTTTTATACTCTCTTCTTCGATTTTCCAACAAGACTATATTTAATGAGTAAACAAATCTCCATCATAACGGGATCAGCGATATTTCTCGTTTGATTTTTTTGGGAAAAAGAGCAGGATATAATACAAGCAAGGAAATTTTACATTCTACAAGATGTTTCCATATGATACAACACAGTTGGACAGTTGTTCCAGGCATTTACTTAAAGCTTGGATTCTCTTTCTTTACATCAACATTCAAATGACCTCATTTTTTAAAAATCTTTGTTTTTGCAGGGAAGTTTCTTCATTGCGTGAGAAAGCGAAGCGCAATTACTCGTATGTTTGCGGTTTGATGGAAATGCTATTGAAGATTTGTGGTTCACGTCAAGGTCTGGAAGTGTTTGGTGTTAAAAACAACATTCTCATTATCCTTTCCGAGCTTTTGCTCTTTGCTCCTCAGGTAAATCATATTTCGCTTAACCAGTAGGCTTATCTTGATATCATATAGGAACAATGTATCTTGACTTTTTATATATATAAAATAGTTTTGGTCTACAAACATTAGTCCTCTCCTCTTTTTAGTATACTCATTGTTTATGAATAACCAATAAATCAAGTTTTGCGCACTTTTAAAACGTTAAATTTTATTTCTCATTCTCGCATTGTTAAATTTTTATTATTTTCAGGCAGTGCAATATCAAGTATTAGAGACAGTTGAGTGTCTTTCTAAGTTATTCACACCTTCCGCGGTGGACTGTTCGAATTTCACGCGGAATTTACTAATCCTGATAACAAAAGTGATAACATTGCAGATACGTGATAAGATGACACGATCACTAACTTCAGCTTCTTTAGCTGTTAGTTTCTTCATTCTTCTTTACGATAATACAACTAAGACGTTCTTTCAATCAGTAATATTTATTGCTGTATGTGTGATGTAATGCTAGTAGTTTCCCTGACTCAAGTTACTAGTTATGCTTCAAAATCATAACTCTAATTTGACAAAAGGAAATATGATTTTGAAAATTTGCAGACTCATATGAGAGATGCACCGATGTATTGGCGAATGGATCGACCAGTTAGTACCGATATTGCGCATCTCGCAAAACAGCTGTTGAAAAATTTGAGGTACTTTGAAATGTCGTTTGAGGATAGCTAATAATATGCTGTAAGACGAGGAGTTCAATCTTAAAGTATGAAGAATTCCCTTTCTATCTCGTAATACAGTGGCGCACTAATCATGTACGTTCAGTACAGAATATGCCAAATTTGGGACTTTTTATAGTTAGTATTTCATTTAGAATTTTCCATAAAATTGACTCTCTGGATGGAAGCTTTAGATGTTAGTGATTAGTGAAAGCATTCAGTGGAGAACGACTTGTTATCTGTTGGATGGCAAGTTTGCTCACAAAATCGTTGTTCGAGTCTTTTTTTCATATTCACACTTAAATATTATGAAAAAGAAATTCTCACTTGTTACAGTGAAGGATTGCTGAATGAATATTGGACAATTCCTGTACGCACAGAAATTGCAAATGGGATCATGAATTTAGCGTCCTTGAATATCACTCATTCATACGATAGCGATCATTTGGCAAGAATAGCAACGGAAGAAAGTGCAACAGGAGGACCAAATAGCGTAGATGTTTCCGAAGTCATGAATACCAATAATTCTCGACCAAATATGCTGAAGAGTGAAAAATTCTGGCTTGGTGTAGCTTCATTATCTTTATTGAAAGAAGGCCAATGGCTAGAGTTGTCATCGGCATGGCAAAGTTTACAGGTTAGCTCCTTGTCTTGCACTATAAAAAGTTGTAGTTTGCATTGTGAAGATAAAGGTAGTAGGTATGATTGCTTATCATAGTACCGAAAAAATTAAAGATTTGTTCCAAGACTTGGTGAGAGCTCGGCAACAAAAGATATTAATAAGAAGTCATTCGCTTTCCCCTTTTCACTTTCCACTTTCCTTTTTGATAACGTCCTCCTTGAATTTATTAAAACCAGAATTTTTAATTAATTGATTTCGTCAAAATTGGAATTTTCGGGTTATTCAATGCAGCATGCTTATCTTGTGCGAAACTACACATTGATCTTGGGTGTACATAGTTTGCATGATAAAGAATATATATTACTAATCGCCAGGTCATTCCATCCAGCTCAACTATAATAAAATTTAATAAAATAAATTCTTTGTTTTGACTTTATTTTCCAGCTAAATTATTTTCAATTCATTTTTATATATTAGTACAGAAAGATTTTTTAAAGAATAACAAACAGAATGTGTTGGGAACGTTATGCGATAATCATGACGATGGACGCACTTTAGCCAACATATTTTGTGAAACTTGTCAATGCTCCTTGTGTCGAGAATGCTTCTCTGTGCTTCATTTAAACAAACGGAACCGGTAAATAAATCAAACATTAAAAAGAAATGTTTTTTCGTCACATAGTCTAGTGATTTAATTTAATTGAACTCCATAGCTTTATAATTATATATTAAAAATTTCAGCAGTCATGCTGTACAATGTCTTGGTGTAACAAATGATTATCCACAAGTTGACGTGCATGAAGGTTCTACTCGATTACGCTTACCACGTGTTTTGGTATGCTAACAACTTCTTAAATTTTATTCATTTTATTGCTCATTTATAAGCATAATGAGATTCACAATTTTTTGATGAAATTTTTCTCGTTCGAATTGGTTTTTTTTGAATAAAATTTAAAATGAAATTTAAAAATTACTAATTACATTTTTGAAAAAATGTAATTAGTAATTTTTATAATTACGTTGTCATTATAAATTCTTTTTCCAACCTATTCTTTTTATCTTATTTAATTTTTTAAATTTAATTCTTTCTTTCGCACTGAACCATTCCTTTTGATTGAAAAAGCCATGCCCTTCCTGTTACTAAAAATGGGCTTTTTTAAGTATGCAATTTTAGTAATAGGCTCACGTTTGGTTTTTTTTTGCTCGGTAGAAAAAAAATACGTTTGGTTCTATAATTTAAGCAATTGTCTAAAAAGTAATTCATACTTATTCCAGGATTGTCTTCCTATTAATTTTATCTTTTACCCAACTTTTGCATAATTTAACCAATAAATTTAGTTTATAAATTCACAGATACTATTTAATCCATCTACTCTGAATGGAATGGTCGAATTTAATCAAAGCGCTATCCGAGAAAATACACCTTCAATGTCTTATAATCGAATTTCTGGTACATGATTTTTTGTTTGCCTGATAATTTACCTATATTAAGTGAAATGACTCTTTTTTTCGTTTTCTGTTCAGAAAGAGCTTTTCAAATCGTATTTCTTGATTTTACCTTTCGAAAGTTTAAAAAGCTTTTTCTGTTTTCGATTATGGTCCTATAGGGCACAATGCATAGAGTATGCTAGGTTTCGATATGTAGATATTAAATATGTAAATATGTCAAATTTTACATTGAATTTTAACGTAAAGAATTTCAAGTTTAATGAAAATTTGTTCCTGCTAAGTTTCATTTTAGATGTTTCAAATCTTGCTCAAACAGACGATAGCTATGTTTGTCGTTTCTGTACTGCTCCATTACGCCCAGATCAGGTTTTTTCTTTTGTACTGACTAAATTTATTTTTTCTTTTGTACTGATCAAATTGGCCATAGTAAATATCAGTTTGCATATTAAAACAGTATGGAATTTTGTTGGCCAAAACTACTCGAACCTTTTGATTATTCAGGCTGCTTTTTTTCTCTTCTGCTTTTCTAGGTGTTCAGTTGAAGATTCGCACTTCTTTAGTTCTACAAATGACTGAGTTAGAGGGCAAGCACTTCTTAATTGTTGTACGAATCCAGACTATTATAATTTAATATTTTTTACCAATATTTTTAATATTTTTTTAATATTTTTTACCAAGGGAATTGCTTTGATTCTATGCACTCAGAATTCCTCAAAGTTCACTAATACCTTCAGCTGATCGATGGTTTATGCGATCACGAAGAATGTCGTCATTTTGCAACGTTTGCTTGTCAACGGCAACTCCCATGTGGTCATATTTGTGGTGGTATATGTGACGAAGAAGTATGCTTACCGTGTATGCAATGCAGGAAGCCAGGTAGAAAATAATCTTTATTTTAATTTATATTTGAACTAAATTTTATTTGAATGTTTTTATCGCATTTAAACGATTAAAATAGTGGCTGCTGTAATGTGTTTCTAATTTTATGATATATTTAAAATTTTAAAGGAAAATGTCGGTATTGTTTTTGCGATATTCCTTCACTTTTCAAGATGAATTCTTCATTTCTTTAACCACTGAACTTTCAGATATAAAGCAAGATGCAGATGATCTATGCGCAATATGTTTTACGGATCGTTTGGGTGGTGCACCATGTATTCAGTTGGCCTGTAACCATGTTTTCCACTACCGTTGTGCGCGGACTGTGCTCGAAAAACGTTGGAACGGACCAAGGATTGTTTTCCGCTTTATGCAATGCCCATTGTGCAAGAAACAAGTTAGTTCTGTTTTCGCATTCGATACTGCGGATTAGGTAGATTGATTTCTGTCCGATACTGCGAATTAGGTAGATTGATTTCCGTCCAGTACTGCGGATTGGGTAGATTGATCTAGCAGTCGTTTGGCTGTCGTGAATTGTCTTAAATTGCCGTATTGTTTTCATGTAAAATTTCCAAAAGATGTAGTAAGGTATTTTATGGGAACCGATCGTTGTACATGGAAAGAGGATAAGAATAGGAGTCTCTCGACATGAGTATTTTAGAGTTATAGTTATACAGGATGAGTCGGTTGGAGATTTAGCCAATGAAATTATGAAGTTTGATGACTGGTATAAAGTATTATGTGTTGAATAATTGATACTATTTATCATTCATACTCTCGTTCTATATCTTTCAGACTTAATTTTTTTCAATTTTCAGATTGATCATCCATCACTAGCAGATTTATTGCATCCATTGCAACTTTTGTATAACGAAGTACTGACTAAGGCACGTTTAAGACTTGAATATGATGGCCTTTTGAAGTCTCGTGCAACTACCTCTGAGAGCAGGTAATTTTTTCTTCCACCTCAGACAATTAATGCTGTGAGACGGGAAAAGAATAAATTTCATCTCTGCTCAGATGTTTTGAGCATTTGCGGAGATAACATCTATATGATAAATATTAAAAGATTGTTTGATCCATCAACTGGTTAAGTTCATTTGCTGCAGATTGCGCAGTAGTTTTTTCTACGTGAGTTTATGAAGGTTCGGAAAAAATGTTGCTCTATCTTTTGACATTACCAGGTAGTCATCATTCCTGCACTTGTACTATAATTGATCAAACGTTTCGCGGAAATGTTCCAACTTAATACATATGTCGACTTAAGGAAATATTTTTCAAGGTCCACGTGTTCATTTATTAAACAACTACCACTTTTTAGTGAACTTCAAAGCAATCCGGATGAATATGCAATGGAACGGTACATGTATGTGCTGTGCTTTAAATGTGGGAAGGCTTATTTTGGAGGTGAAAGTCGTTGCCAGCAGGTTAGTTTTGTTGGCAGAGTTAATTTATTCCAAAATTTTACAATTTCTTAGAGCACGTGATTGCTTAGTCTCGATTACATCATAACTTATTATCTTGAAATCTAGCTTAATTTTGAAGTAAGCTTACGATTCTCGCATTAAAAAGGGATGGGAGAAATCGCGTTTTTTTTCACCATTTCTAATGCCATTTTGTTTGGTCGCTGCTTGTCTCAGAAGTTCTTTCAACTTTTTAAGCCTTTTTTTGCAAAATCTTTCTTACAATTAAATTGACCTTAGAAAAGGCAGTTATTTAAGGAACTGGACAATTCGCAATATAATCCTGAGGAATTGATTTGTGGTGGTTGTTCGGATGTTGTAGGTGCTCAAATCTGTGGACGTCATGGAGTAGATTTCCTTGAATTTAAATGCCGTTTTTGTTGTTCAGTTGCTGTTTATTTCTGGTTAGTTATTGCGAGTTAGCTCTTTGTAATCAAATTTAAACATTGCTTAAATTTTTTTAGATGCTGACTTGTTGTGAAAAACTAAGTTTTTAACATTTCAACTGACGGCGGTTATTAGTGTGTTTTATCTAATAAGAGTATTTGATTTCATTTATATTGCAGCTTTGGTACCACACACTTTTGTACGGGATGTCATGATGATTTCCAACGATTGATGTGCTTACCGAAGAAACTTCTTTCTAAATGTCCAGTTGGACCAAAAGGGGTACAATTAGAGGGAAATAAATGTCCGTTAAGGGTAAAACATCCGCCAACAGGTGAAGAATTTCCACTTGGTTGTGGCGTATGTCGGAATATCAGTACATTTTAATTCAATCAACAAGTTTTCCGAAATTTTTCCTTATAAATCCTTAATTTTTAGTTATTTGGTAGTTTTCTGACTTATCAGTCTAGAGGTTTTTTGTGGTGGAAGTTTGCAAATTCTTGAAATTTATGTCATCGTTTATTGTTTTGCGCGCAATGATAGTTCAAAATATTTTAAGACACTTACTTGTATGGGTGCATATCTCAGGTATTTCATTAAACGACTATGTGCAGTTTCACTGCTATTCACTGGCCTAAAAAAATTTGTACCGCAAGTCCAAACAGTTTGATAAACCTTGTAACCAAAAGTCGCAACAAAATTTGCAAAAATTATGATTAGGATACAGATCAGAACCATGATGATCGTCTCAAATATTTACCGAATTGACGGATAAGTCTGATTAATGGTTCGATATGTTTTAGATCAGTCTTCATAGAGTAGAAAGAATAACTGTTAAAGGCTGCTCATTTATAAAAATTATCAAATTCCACACTTATGTTCGATCTCTGATGTTAAATTTTGATAAATTTCATCTTTCTTTAGGTTGTGATTTATTATATTATTCATTGTTTGCAATTGTTGATCTTGTCATTGTTTTTTTCGAAGTTCTCACTTAGATTAATGTTTTAAGTTTAACTTTCAATTGGTAACTTTCAATTCCTCATGGAGATTCTCTCTTGTTTTATTTTATTGCCAATCTCTTTTTTGTTACGCTTTTTTCTTGCCGATATTATAATGTTTTTTTCATGTTTTGAAAGAAAAAGAAAAATTTCTTCATTTTTTCTGCAAATTTATGTGAATTCTAACTATTTCAAATAATAAAAGTGTAATATAACACGTTGTTGAAGAACAGAAATATAAAGGAAAAATTATTATATAATACAAAAATCTACCATAGTCATAGTGTTTCTCATATATTTGCTATTGCATTATTTTTCTTGAAAAACATTGGATTGAATCGTTTTAAAATAAACGAAATCTTTCGCTAATAATATTATGTGATTAGAAAATTTTCGCTGGATAGAACAAGATTTTATAAATTATGAAAAACATTGAATTTCGATATAAAATATGAATTTCAATTATTGAGTATTACGATAGCTCATTTTTATTCATATTCAACAAATGTTTTAAAATTAACAGAAATAGTAATTTAAAAAAAGGAGGTGTATATGTAGCTGATGTTATAGGAATATGCATTTCAAGGGTTGTAATTAGGTTGAAAGTATTATTAGAACATAGTTTGAGGGAAGATTCAACCAATTAGAAATACTAATAGTGTAATTAATAATTAATTGAACTAGGATATCCTTATGAATGTGTATCATTAATGACACTAATGTGAAATATCATGAAATCCGTTTGTTTGAAATTTCACATCAACCATACTTCACTATTGAGCGTTTTACTCTTTTGTTTTACTAGCTCATTTCTTCTCCCTATACTTTCGCTTTTAGTTATTAAATTTTAAAATCCTATTTTCATGATCTAATAGTTAAAGTTACTGTTAACATCATTAATTGGAAATGAATTAAAAGATAATTAAAATATCCTCATGCATTGCATAATTAATTAATAGTATCATGTTATTTATCTTTTCTTATTAAATTTATCTTTTCCAAATTAATATGAAAAATTGAAATGTTATAATAAAAAGAGTTTAATAAAAATTTCAAAGTAAAATTTCCAACATCATTGGTTATACTGAAGTTATTATTGGACTAATATCAATTCTCTAAGTAAAGTAATTTTTTAAATTTCATTTTCCTTCTTCCATAAAAAACGAAATAAAAACTAATGCACTTTTCTCCACAATTCATTTTTATAATTTCAATCTCATTTTAAAATTTCTTATATGAACGTTCAATTTTTTCTTCCTACTTTATATATGTATATATATTAATTAGTTGCAGTTATATATATATATATATATATATAGTTATAAATAACTGCAACTAATCAATATATCAATATATTATTTATGTTAAATCAGAAAAAGAAAAGTTATGATAGTTACAGAAATGAAATTTTTATAGATCTGAAATTTTTTCAAAATTTTCTACATCAAAATATATTTGAAAAAAAAAAATATAAAATTTCAACTTTTACAGCAAATCTATTCCAATATGTTTGACATGGTATTTGCAAGATTTTTTGATTTACCAAAAATGGATCAAAAAATTTTTCGAAGTTAAATTTGCAAATTCAAATCCAGAATTTGAGTCGTGCTGTTTTCCAAATTGTATAATCTTTTTGTTTGTTACAGTTTAGTGACAACTTTAATGCTTGCGGTATTAATTAAGTTGATAGATTGATTGGTAGTATTAATTAAGCATTAAAGAAGTAAGTTTATTATTATATAGATTGATATGCTATAAAATGTAATGTTTCTTATTTATAACAAATATATTGGCCATAAAATTTTCTACGAAACAAAATGTTATTTATTAAATCAAAAAGAATAAAATAAATTCTTTAGCACTAATTAAATTGAAATATTGATTGAAATGCTTTAAGGCAATGTCATATTTCATTTCGAAGTTCTTTTCAATCTGAAATATTAAATAGCCTAGTTGTTAATGCTAAAGCCTTATTCGTTAATTGTTTTTATATCGCCGTACTATGTTTATGTATAATTGACAAAAGCTTTGCTATATAAAATTGGCAAAAACTTTTTTAATAACAATTAAATGAAAGTTTTGAAAATTTCAAATATTTCTTAATTGAATTCTTAATTTTTTTTAATTAGAAATTGAATGAAATGATGAAAGATATTTGTTTTAATTGATATTTCAAGAGATTTCTTTTCGTAAACATAAGCAAATAAGTGGTATTTATATTTTTTGATTGCATGAAAGATTTTTCCAAATATTGCATTTTGATGATAGCTTTTTAGGCAAATTTAAAATTAAACTTGATAAGTTGAAATTAAAATTTTTTCGTTAAATTATTTGATAAACCTGTTAATTGGAAATTTTATCAGTAGCTTAGAGTGAATCGAATGATAAATATTAGTTAGAAAATAATATGAAAAGAAATAAGCTTATATTAAATTAATATCATACAATTTTTGTTTTTGCAAATGTTATTTTAAGCTTCATGTTTTCTCATCATGAATCAGAGATAATCATTTTAAGCTTAGGTAATTGAACTTTCATTCACACGCATATAAATCAAAACAACTTGTTTATTCATAACCGAAATTTTCATTTGTTGAAGTTGTTTTTCGATTTCACTTCTATCTGCTTTTACACTTTGTTACAAATTGTATGTAGAAATTCATCAAAATGATAAAAATTAAATGATCGTAAAGAATTAGATGATAAAATACTATATTTTGAAATTAAATGTAATTAAAAAGTGATTAAGAAGAAATAAATCGTTTTGATTGTTAAAACTGAAATTAAGTAATGATATTTTCCAACGAGAAATTAAGTTAATGTTGATAAAACTGAGAAAAATAGTGGAAAGAAAAGATCCATAATTTTTAACGTAGAAAATTCTTTTAATATATATCATGAAATACTTAGCTTTTCCTTTTTTATATTAAATTTAATTTTAACATTTCCTTCTTTTTTATACTACAATTTTTATGTTTTATTTCGTTTTTACAAAATATAAAATGAAATCGATCGATTAGATCAATAAATAAA